ATTTTACCTTGGAGATCCACGACGAGCAGGCCTGCAAAAGAAAATAAAAACATTTAAATAAAAATCTTGTCAAGTTGTGCTTTACGAGAAATTTAACTCCAAGTTAAAGTCTCGACATTCCTTTTAATAATAAACAGGCCACTCTTAAATGAGCATCCAAAACGTCAAGTCTGGTTCAAAACAAAGAATGCCATCTCTCCACAAAAGGAGAGTTACCATCCAAAGCAAAGCACAAATTATCCCGACTGCATTAGAGCAGGAGAAAAGAATGGTTCCTTGCAAGGAAGCCAAAGACCAATGATTGCCCAACAACAAAACTGATCCTTGTTTAACAAAGATGGTACAAAGCTATAATTCAGAATCTAGAAAGTTCCAGTTAATGAAATAAAAATTGCAACATGCAAGTGGTATTGCACTTTAAAGTAGCCACTTTTAGAGAATGGGATGTTCTCCCAGATCTGGAAATCATTTAATTTGCAGTTGCAACTAGTGAAATGGCAGTCTCAAGACCATCAAAGCACTTTACAGTCATGTTGATAAAAAAGGGGCAGATGAAGTCTTTGCCATTTTTATCAATTTTTGGAATTCTTAGCTTGGTTAAATTATTCCAAACAATGTTTTAGGATAGTTCAAAGTTGACCGAGTGACCCACCCTACAGCACCACTTGACACAAACCAGTGTAATACATGTCTATAAAATTTTGTCCATGATGGATAGCCGCTTCTTGGCAAAATATCTCATCCCAAGGAAAGACCAAACCTTTGAAGTACTGTTTGCTCCAAGGGTTTGGTATTGTGTACACAGTCCATGGGTGGTAAGATGGCAACAGCAATCCAACCCATCGTGCATACCATTTTATTCAAATGGATCATAGGGCAACAGTGCAGCAAAAATTCTGCCAAGACAAAATGCTGCTTGTGGAAGTATTGTTTGTAATGTGCCTTACATTATTCCAATAATTTTTTAGCCAATGACAGGTTAATGATATGGGGTCTGTATTAGAGAGGTCAATTATTTCTCTACACAGTATTTATAACACTGTTATTGGCAAAGTCCCTCGAACAGGCAAGAGAACATTTGTCTGCTTCCAAGTGAGAAGAGAACAATTCCTCATGTTCCTCAGAACATAACACTTAACATTAATTGTTAAGGTTCCAAGTTCAAGAGAACATAAGTACAAAGGAAGAAGTCAAACAATTCTGGACAATCCAAGAAAATTCAGATCACTAGTAGATTTTGAGCAAATCAAGGACCATGATTTTCAACTTTAAATCGAGTACTGGGGAAGCCTCAAAGTGAAAATGACACTTTAGTCACATGCAGGGTAAAAATTGGACCCTTACATTCAAGATAGAAAATTGGGTCTCTCCTTTGATCCCTTTAAATCGCTGAATCCTTCAGAAAGATACAGGAATATGCATTTACCGAAATCTTTAAAGTTGTGTGCATTTAATCGACCATCAGTTATATTTTACTTGCATTATGTAGCAATTCATTTGCACAAAAGAACAATGCAATTTTATTTTCATGTTTATAGAAGTATTTTCACCAAGTACATAATTTTACTGCCAAATTATCATAAACAAATATTTATTAAATGTCATTTCAGAACATAAAACAGGGCAGTTTCTTCTTTTCAGAAGCACAAGGCAAAACTAGTGAAAACTGGTACTGTCATCTCTGCATTCTAAACTACAATCAGGACCTTAAAGGTCCACAATTTAGAATGTGACAAGGTTAATCAGACTATATAGGTGCGATGAATAAATGCCACAATTTGAAAACCCCAACTGCTTCATACCCAACACCCCTCCTCACTCAGACAATTTCCTCCTAAAGCATTCACACATTTAATTTGTTCCACGTCATTCATGCAACTTATACTGTAAGCTTTTCCTTGGGAAAAAAAGTTTCAGAACGCTGCTGTCAAAAATTTAAATATGCAATGAATTTACCTTAATTAACAATTTTCAATGACTGGTTTACAGTTGCTCATAAAAGCACTACAGCGAAGAAGAATATATGATAAATACAGCACCCCACCCACCCGCTAGTTTGTCTTTTCAATGAAGTGCCAAATGCTATGTCTCTCCAACAAATGCACAGTAAACACCTATTAATTGTTAAGGTTCCTGGGCCCATTGAATGGCAGACCACAAATTACACTTGTCAAGAACTTGCTGGGAACAAAATACGGTAAACCCTCTCATGTTTGCAAGGTTATCTTCCTACACGCAGTGAAACTTTTAATGCAGATAGTCTTGCTTAGCTTATGGAATCAAAAATAGTGTTCCAGAGCCTTGGTCCAGGGGGATACTTGTACAATTATTTTCTACTTAAATTACAGTAATATTAATTATTATCTATTTATGAACAAGAATTACACAATGTATAAAAAAGCAAAATTTTTACTTACCAAAGTGTAGAAACCGCTAACTATTGAGGAGAACTTGTACAGGTATCACACTCGAGTTCACTTGTACTAAGTCCCACAATCTTTAACTAAACATTTATAATTTCACATTTTCATGGTATTTAAGTAAAAAAAAGTACTAAACATTTAATATCACATTAACGTCTCCAGACACCCCTAAGGTTTGTCTAATTTGCCATGTTCAAGGCAGTTTTAAGTACATTTTCTAATTGTCCAGCGGAATGCTCACAAGGTTCAATTAGCAAGTTATCCGACATGGCACACATCGGAAATCATGCTTATCTGTTGTTGGTTGGTGCACTTAGTAAGGTTGTTCCCATGGTAATAAATTGGCCTTGAGCCATTTCAGTAAATTAAAGGTTTTTACCATTCACTATTATAAAAAGGAATAAATCATGTACAAAAATGAAAGTACTATAGTAATTATTAACTTACCAGAATAAACAGGTGTGTGGTAGAGAATTTTGAGGTGCATAGCAGATACACCTAACACTTAAAATTAAACTAAGTTTTAAAATTACCAAGCATTACAAAAATTTACACTTAGTATTCACAGTAACAAGTCATGGATCACAGAAAATCAATACTGCTCATTAACTCCTCATGCTTCAGTCTATCCAACACCCATCTGAAATTTTTTTGATCAGGCTTAAGAGGAAAACAAGTACTGGTCTTCATGACCTAAGTTGGCCATAAAAAATACAACAAATGAATCAAATGCTTAGAAAGACCTACCAATGCAGTTTTTCAATTAAGACAACTACCAGATAAAATCACAATACAGATGGGTGTAGGCATGTCAGGCTCGCTTGTCTGATTTGTAGACATGTAGGATGTGGTCGGCTCTTGCTATGTAATGCCAATGGCCTTACACAATCATGTAATTCCAGCATTACCTTATTATTCACTTTCATAGTTGGGAAGCAGTATCCCAGAAAGGATAAATATTTTAGGATTAAAGGATTAAAAGGTATTAGAAGCAATACAATTATTAATATCTTAGAAATCTGCACACAACACAGTATATAAATCAAGCTTTTTGTTTTTCAAAATGTACATTTGATGCACAAGTCCCACATACCTTTAGACAGGAAAAAGCTCTACTTTGCTAGCAAGGAAAGGTAGGCGCGAACGGTGATTTTGCAAACATGCGAGGGTTTACTGTAGTTTTTTGAGGCAACTAAACCCAGCCAACCCCCCCCTCCCACCCAACCTCATTACAATAAAGATATTGCAACTGGTAGCTTGAAGCAGTGAAAATTAACACTTGCCAAACTAGTTGAGAAGCACTAGCTTCAACAACAACAAAAATAACAGTAGCTGGCAACAATAATGGCGATCCTTTTGTAATTTGTTTAAATCCTAGTAATTTACAGCTTCATGAATCTATACAGACAAATGAAGAAAAATGTTTCATGTGGTGCAGGTGCTTTAAAAATGTTTTAACATTCTTTGTTGAACAATACACGCAGAAATAGTACTTCCATTAGTATTTATTCCAAAATCAGGGCTTCATTGCCTTCAGTGTCCTTGGTCACAAATACCACCTTCATTACTGACCTTCCTTTGCATCACTATGACGTTGCATAGCATTCACTTGTACCCTGCACATAACTACCATAATGGATTTACTCGTACAGTACAGTGTTGCTGCTTTTTAACTCTGGAATGACCTTCACTAAACTTATTTCCATGGAATTTAGATGTTTTGAGAATCTTCAAAATTTAGGTTCACAGCCCATTGCAAAATTTTAATTTAGAAACAAGCCCAGCACCTGCATACAGACCCCAAGTTGTGAACCCGACACTGACAAAGTACCATCCAACATTAATTTTACTTTCTATTAAAATGTTCACAAGGGAACCCTCCCAGAAGCAGATCTTCGAGAATAATGCATGAACATACAAAGATTTAAATTTGTAACAATATTGAAAGGGGTTATGGTCTTGTCTATGAAAACCGATGCTCACAAATTTTAATCTTTTTAGAGGGGGATGCATGTATTATTTCCAACAGTAATCATAACCCTCAACTAATGAAAACCCATCTTAAGTATTCTGCCAAATAGGGTAGTAATAGTTTAGACATGGAAAATCCCATAAACAGGATTATTATACATGTGATGGGGCATATTTATAGCCTGTGTGCGCCAATCCAGAGCTACTGTGGTACTAATTTAAATTCGACATGAAATTATCCGAACATATTTAAAGAAATTTGCGAGGACTAGCAACAACATCTAAACGATTAGATTTTGCCAAATTTTTATTACCTATTACTATACAGAATGAAGGATTTTCTAAACTTGCATGGGTACACCTCATTTCCATCACCTTCAGTTTCACGATTCTCGAATTTCATGACATGGTACGGCACCCACCAGAAAAGCTTATACTGTATTGCAAATGCCCATACTAGAACCAACACCAAATGGCTGCTAGAAACCTAATCAAAATCTTAATTCTGCAAAAAGTAAACTAAGATGACTTTATAAATGGCAACCTGGAGACTGCCTGCAAAACAAGGTAGGGTTTCAATGAATACATTAAATATAGGCTACCAACCTTGGTGAGCGAGAGCGTGACCTCTTTGGAGACCGTGAACGAGAGCGACCTCGACCACCTCCAAAGCGACGTGGAGACCGAGACCTGAAATATCCAAATTTTAATCAAAATAAAATTCTTTATAATTAATTTTTCATCTATATGTTCTTGGACGTAACCACTTCGTGAGACACGAACACTGCTTAAGTAAAAGAAATTCAATTTTCTGTTTTAGAAGGATAAAAGGAAATTCTTTTTATACTACAATATCCAAAATCCTGTGCCATGGAAAGTGAACAGCTGCAAATTTTATAATGCTGTCCCGCCCTCTCCCACAAACCACCTGGGTAACAACCATGAGTACCCTGCTAGAGATTCAAATGTTCCAGGCAAGTATAAAACAAATGAACCTTCTACAGGTGAACAATCACTCCTCAAGGTATCATCATCCTTAATGACAGGATGTATACCTATGCTTGATTGATTATCACAAACTGGTAGTTTGTGACAACTGATCAAATGGTCAAATACTGAGTGGTGTACCGTCACAGCAGGATGGTCGTAATGATGAGCCGAGGCGCGATGTATGTAAGAAAGTGGAGCGAGCGTTGGAGGGTCAGAGACCCAAGATGGTGGGTGGGGGGGCAGGCCTGACGGTGCGCAGGCAGCGGGCGGGCGATGGGCGGAGGGTAGACGCAGATGGGCGGGGAGAAGAGGACACGTGAAGCGCTTAAGGGCTGCCCGGGTGCCATGAGGTGCCGCGCCGTAGGAGGGTCATCAGGCAACGTGATGCACACCACCACCTCTGCCAGGTTCGGATGAATAGGGTCCACCACCTTACCCAGATCTGGCATACAATGCTACTCTTTGCCTTTTGAAGTACAATGTCTGCTCTTCAATAACCAAAGAAATACTTGAAGGTGTATCACCAGTGTGGGATCAGGTGATGCATGGAAGGAAGCCCCCAACAGGAACTCCAACATCCCCTATAACCAAATACTGGAAGCCCACTGTACAAGCGGGCTGACGCTGCTGCTAGCAGTGGTGGTGGTGGTGGAAGTACTTGTGGTGGTGGTGGTGGTGGTGGTGGTTTTGGAGTTCGTGGTGGTGGTGGTGGTGGTGGTGTGGTAGCAACAGTAGGAGGAGTAGATGGTGGTGGTGGAACAAGAAGTAATTTGGGCGAGATAGTCCTGTAAATGGGCCACACACCACAATTAACACATTTTTCAAATACAAGTTTTCTTGATCTCAAAATGAATAAGCTGTTATTTTGATAACAATATAATCATTTGAAAATGACTGGAAAATATCTAACTTCAAACTGCATGCTTAAGCGCTTATAACTAAAAGATAAATAAATAAATAACTCAAATTATAGAAGAGAGTCCCTTCCCCCCTATAAAACCTGGAGTCAAATGATTTTAGGCGGAAAACTCTTAAACACTAAAGATCCACCAGTGTGACCTGTAGAGTTTAAACACCATACATAGTGGGCTGCAACCCAAGAGAACCTTTTCAAACGAAATTGTCACAAACCTGTAACCACAACTTAGCTTCATCCACACAAAAGGTTTACAAGCTTCCACCAACCTTAAAATTTAAGATTATTGTAAAGAATATTTCACATTCAACTACCACCAAATTTTATTAATTAAAAAATATAATTCAAAGTCCTTGAAATAGCAATTTTTTTTATTTCTTTTGCCAACAGTTATAGTGCGCTATAGGCACAAGCTAACCTAGTTCAGCATGGCCTTAATTCCGTTAAAGTTCTCACTTTTAGGCATTACAAGGAATAAATGCTAGTCTTACCTGGACCTCCTTCCACCACCGCCACCACGGCGAGGAGGAGAGTGGAAGCGGTCACGTCGGGAACGTCCTGTTGACATCTCCACCTTCACACGTACACCACATAGGCGTCTGAAATAAAACCATGCACTTTGAAGCAAAATGCTTAAATATGGCCATTTGCTTAAAATAACTTATGGGAATCTGCCTAGCAGTAGATCCTGCCTGTTCCTTTACTTCTCATTCACCAACACATCTGCATGCTCCAACCTTAACATTCAACATTAATGACAACACTACGTCCCTAAAACAGTCCCCCTCCACCCTACAGCACCCAAGACGCTACCACCAGCTGTCTCTGCGTTGGACCAGACGCCATCAGCTAATGAAACCCCTATTGTTTAACTGCCGGCTCACTGTTAAACTCCAGAATTCGCGCTATGACGTCATGGCCCCACATATAAGGTTTTGCCAGCGTCTAGCTCAACAGATTACCCTTCGAGTGCTCATAGCTGTAACATCTACTCTCTGCTCTGGGAGATGGTAGATGCCCACCTATTTTATATAAAGTATTGCCGTTACCTTTGTTATTTACCAAATTTTTTTTTTTTTTTGAGATATATACAAGAGTTGTTACATTCTTGTACAGCCACTAGTACGCGTAGCGTTTCGGGCAGGTCCCTGGAATACGATCCCCTGTCGCGAAGAATCCTTTTTTCATCCAAGTACACATTTTGCTGTTGCGTTAAACAGAGGCTACAGTTAAGGAATTGCGCCCAGTAAATCCTCCCCGGCCAGGATACGAACCCATGACATAGCGCTCGCGGAACGCCAGGCGAGTGCCTTACCACTACACCACGGAGACTGTCAAATTTCTGACTGTCAAATTTAATTGTTACTTGCCATTTTGTGTAAAATTAGTCATTTTTTATTATATTAAATGTTTGAAGTTTTTATTCTGTGGTTTTTACCTGCAGCTCTCACACAGAGGACCCAAGCAGTCTTGTATACTTTGTTTTTTATTTTTTATTAATGCGTGATGAGCACAACACCTGCCCGAATAGCCACTGCTTTATTCCAGATTCTCATCACAACTCAAAGCTGTTATAATATTTGTATGCGCTGCTAATCAGGGCAAGTACACTTCCAAAAAGAGACTAAAATTGCAATATTCACAGTTATGTCTTTCATTGATCAATGTGCCTTTACTCTATTTTCAGCATCATGTTTTGGTTCCTAATGTCTATTCCCACATCTTTCTTCACTTACTGCATAGTAATTAATAGTCACTGTTGGCAATTAAAGAGAGAGAAGTCAAAGAAGGGGGCCCCAGATATGAATCTTTTGAGACCAAATGGGAAGTGTTGATAGACTTGTGGATAAATGTACCACCACTATGAAAGATTGAAAGTGAAAACACATCAGTGCTATCATTCCATGTGTTGCAATAATCTACTTCTAGTCGACCAAGGTTAGAAAAGAGCAGGTTACAAATACATTCGAATCCAAAACTGTTAGGAAAGGATCAATCGTCATTCCTATTAAAAGATTGCTATGAGTTGTTGTCTCATGAAATGGAGGAAAAGCTTACTAATATCAATTTAATTATCCCTAGGAGTGGAATTTAATGTCACACACCAGAAGTTTTATTGCTAATTTCTATTTTTACAAGAATGCTTTTGGCTCACGGAAGATCAAAATGTTAAATTTGAAAACTTTCAAAGTTTGCCCAGCAAGAATGGTTATAGGCCCACCTTTCCTTAAACACTGGACCATGGGAAAGGCAATGAGGCTGCTTAAAAAGGAAGGGACAGGGGGGAGGGGGTAAGTTTTACATTCTGAGTGCAACACCCTTTAGTATTGGCAGGCTACTCATGGCAGAATTTCCAGAATTTCTATGCAAAGGATGGGTGATGGGAGAGAAAACTCTCCCTCTCTATAACATTAATTTCAGTTATAATTTTAAAATATAGAGATTATTTTTTATCACTGAAAAGCATGAAACTTTTTCCAGTGCAAATTATGATACAGAGCTTTCATGATCAAAAAATTCTTTATTGCAATAAAAAATCTCTAGGCTCTCCTGGTATAAATTCCATTCACATCTTTCAGTAAAACTCATATATAGCCATATTTGGTAAAACAGGTTTTATTTTGTAAAATGTGTCTTTTGCATATGTTGTAAAACATATGCAGCAAGAAACTCAACAAAACCGGCCACTTTTCTCCTGAAATGGTCCTGCCACCAAGGCAACTTGGTGGCATGCTTAAAACTAACTCCAGTGCACTGATAGTACTTACGTTCCATCCAGAGCACGAACTGAATCTTCAGCATCTCTTGGGTCCTCAAATTCTACAAATGCAAATCCAGGAGGGTTACGAGCCACCCAAACATTCACCAAGGGTCCATATTTTGAAAAGGCTGACTCTAGCTCATGCTTAGCCTCTGTGTTTCCAAGATTACCGACGTAAACCTTGCAGTCCGTCCTCATTCTTCTGCCAAGTAAAAGAAATGACGAAGGAATTATCTTAATCTATATAATGAACAAATAATTACACTACATCAATTTTCTCTATTTCAAAATATTATTAACCATGTCCAAGTGCATCACATGTTTCCTTAGTAAATGAAGATTTATCTAACAATATAGGCAAATAATTAAACCCAAAGTGTATAAAAATTAGTTTACAATACGACTACTTTAAGATAAATTTCACAATCTAAACAGTCATAACAAATTATTAGATGATTACATTATATGAAGTGTGGGCTTACACCAAGACTGACCCTAAACTAAACTCGTGCCCATAAAATTACACATTCAAAGTTCAATTCAATAATTGTTATATTAACTCATAATGGGGGAAGAGAACCAAAGAAATAAAATGACCTTACAAAATGTTGATGACAATTCTAAATTGTATGCTCTTATTTTTAATAACTTTCAGATGCATTAATTTAGTTTACTTCAACGACTTCATTCAAGGAAAAACGGAAAAAATAAATCCGCTGAAGATGAAGAGGAAAACAGGGAAGAGAAGTTTGCCGATTCAATCAAAATGAAGATGACTTAAGAAAAGGAAGATGTAAAAAGATATCAGAACAGCAAGAGCCATGATCACCCTAATTGTAAAATTATAGCACAAGAATCAGTATGCATGTTGGCAGCAAGTGGGGGCGGGAGGGGAACCAAGCTCAAATATTGTGTAATAAACATTAAAAATTTATGCCAGGAGGCAACTTCTATTTATTTTATTTTTTTACCTTTGAGTGGATCAAGCAGACATTTTTATACAAATCCTTAACCCATGTGAAGCTTAAATCAACAATGGGCAGAAAGAGGGAAATTACAGAGATAATCAAGCCAAAACAATACAGCACTCTAGAAATATTTCAAGCTAAGCAAATGCAACCTTACCACAAGTAAAATGGTAGTATCTGAGAGCACATGCACAACAAAAGGAGGCCCAACTTATCACTAAAATACCAACTGCTTCAAGAAGTTACTTTCAGAGCAGAGAGACTGTAATCAATGATTAAACCTAGTCTTGATACTGGTTGAGAGATTTGTAAGTGGAACAAACACACTTGACAAAAGGATAATCATGTTTGTTTTGAAATGCCATACAGTACAGGCAAACACTGTAAAGAAGAATTCCTAGAAAAAATTTTTAAACTGCAGAAAAAAGTGAACTCTAATCGTGAATTTCAGTTTTTAAAAACAGTATTTACAGTAAGTCATTCTCAATGCATAAGTGTTTATTAAACAACTTCAACATTTATATCAATAGAGGAATTATGATTTCTCAACCTTAACATGAAATGCACCATAAAGAAAATATACAATGGTTTTTCCTTCACCCCACTACAACTGTCTCTGCAAAATGCAACACCAGTGTTAATCACAGTGATTAAAGCCATATTTAAGGACATTCATTATAAAAGTGCAGTTCTGTTTTGAAAAACACTCGTTCAACTACGTCAAAGACGCCATATTCCCAAATTCCTAACCTAACTAAATTAAAATTGAGTTCAAAACTTTCTGGACTAATAATTAATAATTAAACTATTAATAATATATTTAACTGAAACATTAATGATTACAAATAAGAAAGCGTGATAGTTTCCAAGAGACTGCATCAGTCATTGGGATAAAAGTGAAACCATTCTTTAAAAAAAAAAATCATTTCTTTTCCCCAGTGTTTCCTAAGAGATTATACAAACAAACCAGTCCTGTCTTGTTCCTACACATCTTGTGTTCAATCTAGAACTATCTAGCTTCTGTATGCATTTACCTGTAACCATTATAAAATTGTCCTATATTCAAGGTCATTCATTAAAAATAACCAAACTATTTAGGTACACCTTCCTCTATTGTGCAATTTACTTATTTTTGCACTGAATTCCATGACCTTGTATTTCCCTCTATTCTCACATCAGATGTACTTCTCTTTCTATTATCGTAAGTCTTGAGAATTCACAATCTCACCACACCGAGGAAGCCATTACCACTCCTTCCTGCAGCTTCTTCACACTTGCTTTCTATCTAAGCATGGGCCAACAATTTTTCTTACCAGATTCCCAACTTCAATCTCAAATTTCTCAATCACATGACTCGCAAAGTATTTAAACTGGTCAACCCATTACTTAAAATACTAAACTATTCCTACTTCACTATTCACATCACCCAGTGAGTATAAAAAATGCTATCAGTTAATACTTTGAACCCATATTGTAAGTTTTATAAAAACAAAAAACTGGTTAATTGTATGATTTATACATGCCACACCAATTTTACTGGATACTCATTTATTAAAATACTAAGACTACCAGTATTCTACTAGATCTTCAATCCAGGTATAGTTCTGTAATTCTGCATCTACTTCTAATTTAAGCACTAAGAACTTTAATTACTATTGACAAGTCTTGTACTGGTATCTCTAATAAAATCCTTTAAGATATAATTAATGTTCCAAGTCTGAATGGACGGCTTTAGAAATCACGATCAATATTTAATGGAATTTAATTAAATTCTAAGGTTAGGGTGTTTGGGCCAAGCACAAAAGTCCAATTATTCATCACTACATAAATAATACTAATTTTCTATTTTCCAAAGTTCCTGAATTATTAATTTTTAGTGATTTAACTCGGTGGGAATGTTTTAAGATAAAATTAGACAAGGTTATGTGGCACTTTCCTTGGTAAGAGCATAATCCATCATGTCAGTACTTGTACAATCTATTGAGGATAGTTATTATAAAGGGAATGGTAGCTATAAGCATTACTTTATCTGCCAAATAGTTAAAATATTTACATTATTTCCAATCTCTGCAAATCATGTCCTCTTCCATTTGCTAACCTGATTCTTCTAAACACTGCAATAACTTCCTTACCCCTCTGATAAACTTGCCAATTTAAAGATGAAACTTGTCAGACCTGATATTTCAGGTTTAAGACATTCTTTATAAAATTAAGATTAAGTAAAGCCCTAATTTACTAGAGCTGCAAAAAGCTTACATCTCATTAAAAAATAATTTACAAATTACAGAACTCAAACCTATCTAGCACACAAACTTGAAAACTGTCTACTTTCATTCAAGCCATGCACAGTCAAATCCAAACCTACAGAATAGGCTCAAAGGTTGATACATGTACAATTCCACAAATAGGCTCTTATTGAACAAATCCACAAGGGCCGTGACGAGGATTCGAACCTGCGTCCGGGAGCATCCCAGACACTGCCTGAATCGACTGAGTGTCTGGGATGCTCCCGGATGCAGGTTCGAATCCGCGTCACAGCCCTTGTAGATTTGTTCATTTGATGCATCACGTTAGTGTGATCTGTGTGTAATGGGCTCTTATTCAACGTTATGCCAACTTATTTAGTAATACGAAAATTACCTATACAAATTATATTAAACTTGTTATATAATATTCCTTTTACTTTATCTAAAATCTATTAACTATAAAATAATTTAAGGCTAAGCAAGCATTGATGGAGCTCTATAGGAATTAGCAAAATCCTAAGATAAAATACTAGTTCCCCTTATTATTAAGGTTAATGTTACTTTCAAAACTGCCAACAAAAAAGAAAAAGGTTGGAGGGGGGGGGGGGATGGAAGGTAGAGCAGATGGGGTCCAGTTTCTACAAGTGTGCGTGTATATTTAGAGAAAAAACACTATACAGTACAGTACATGGCAACTTCAAGAGATGTCAGCTTGCTGAAGATAAGAATGAAGTTGAGAGCAGGTTTCACTGAAGATAACATTGCCTGTAAGGGCTGCATGATAGTTAGCTACAGTCAACCAAGAAGAGGATTCCCAAAACCATCTCAAAGGTGGTCCACAGGATAAAATTGAGGTGAATGGGTACAACACAATTACAATTAATACTCAAGTACAGTACAGGAATCTCTAATAATGCTGATGCAATAAACGTAATTATTCGATATATTCTTTCTTGGCTACTAATGAAAACGGTTGCATGCAAATTGAGACTGAAAATTAGGCGAGTGATTGATTGTATTGTAATATTTGGATTGTTCCATGTTATCAAAAGAAGGCAATAAAGAAAACCTTAAGATACAACTGTGCTTTAGTGACTTTTCAGACCTATGACTCCCACTTTTACTCTTTCCAACTTTGATGTATCCATCCGCCAGTTTCAACCAAAGCAGAGAATTACAACTTTCTTAACGATGCCTTTGAAAAAGTTCAATAAAACAATTCCCACTTTCATGAGGTAGGAAAAAATCCAGAATAAAGTTAAAGCTAACATAAGAAAATATTTAAAGGAAAGCATTTAAAAATTGCCATAACTTGTGTTACATATCCCTAAGAGAACCAGCACCACCACATTATCAGATCCATCCACACAAGAAACTGACTGCTTTAATAGACTAGGTATAGTACCCTCAAACTCCTACTATATCCTTATTTTGCACATCGCACTTCCTCATTTGCAGAGTACAGTATGCACATCACTTACATCCTCATACCTTCAAATTAACTTACATATCATGCCCTTATATTCATCCATTCATTCAAACAAGCAAAACCTCTTGGTACTATCCTGAATTTTGCAATTTACCAACTTGGGCATTTTGTCGCAATAAATTATACCACAACACCAGCATCTCTCATCTACCCATGCATAACCACTCCATGCATGGAGTGGTTATGGAACTATTGGCTCCATATCCCCCCCTCCCCTTTTTTCTTAACCTAACCTTTCCTTCTGACTCATGACTACTCTCAAGTTGTCAAGCACAAATCTCAGTTTTAATACATTCTAGGCATTATAGTTAATGAACTATTTATAGCACATCATTCATAATATTCTCTAGTTTCCTTTGCCTTTTCAGAACCAAGCCTTTACTTTTGCATGTGTTCCCTCATAGGAATGGAGTCTTGGCTGCAAAACCCATTTCAGCTAATACAAAAATTATACATCAAATTACACAATCACCATACACACCAGTTATATGCTACACCATTACAAAATGCACTATCTTCAGTCTCCTCTGTCACTATTCCAGGTGCATAAATCCCATGTACGCTTACAATCTATCTTGTGCCTTCTCCACTAGCTGCTCAAATGCAAATCCATATAATCACTTCCTCAATCACTATCCTGCCCCCCCCCCCCCCCCCCAGTGTACTATACTTATAACACCAATGCTTTTGCAATTCACACTACCCCATTAATTTATAAACAATTTCTCTGCCTTCCTAATCCTATAACATACGGTTAGGAAGGTGATATTAGGAATATATTTTACCATGCCTTTTAAAAGGCATATTCTGCAAACTCAATCCCCACATTAATTTAAGTAAACAAATTATTACAACTCACCTACAACTAGTTCCTGCCACATTAGATTCTACACCACTCTTCTCACCAGCAAAACCAATTATATTCACATTAGCAATTTCATCACATCACTTGAAACCTTTAATGTACTCAAACTCCTAAATATTAACTACACACTCGCACATTTATCTATTCCAATTGACTTTCACTCTCCTTGCTGCATTTACTTCAAAATAGCTTCTACATTTATAAAAAAAGAAAAAATCACTACCAGATCTGAAAAACACTAACCCCCCCTCCCCCCCACACACACACAAAAAGGTGAAGATATCCTGACCCATTGCCAAGTTAAACCAAGTTAAAGCTTAATAATGGCCCAAAATAGATAAAAAATGGGTCTCCTTGCACCACTGGAATATAGTGCAAGTTTAACCACAAGTTCCAAAAAATTCCAAGTCAGAAAATGTCAAAATTCTGTACTGTATAGTTTTATTGCATTGCGAGATGTACTGTACAAGATGGTCACCCATTTTGAGAAAGAGGAAGGCTAATAAACTACTGTCATACTAATTAAGCTAGGTTTTGTTATACTTGGCATTTTGTTTAATCTTGCAATCTGCACACCTCAAATTCACAGTTTTTCCCACTTCAAATTAGCAAAGCTTTTTTAAAATATTACAAGTACTACTGTGTTTACAAAATATTCAAAACCAAGATTTAATTGCCATTTTTTTTAGCATTTATACAATATCTTAAAATTTCGCACCTGAGCATCAAAATGGGAGACGACGTTCAGAAAAATAAGGCAAATGCTCTCACCGGATAAGCCATAGCTTTCGTTTTAAAGTTATAACTTATGTAGTAGTATTCAACAACAAATTTCAGCTTACAAGGTTCTCGGCAGAGGCTTAGTCTAGGCGAGGATAGGCTAATTTTATTTTACAAGTTCTATTTTAGGGGCACCATTTTAGTAGAGGGCAATTACAAGGTACAGTAGTACCAGAGAAAAACTTCGACCATGATGCAGACTCCCAAAAGATCAGACAAGTCAATATAGATAAAAATGGCAATAGGCAAGTGTGAGAAACTGTACAGAAACGTTGATAACTATAGAACGAACGCGACATGACGAAAAACTGCAAATAATTGAGCTGACCCATACGAATGTAAACAACGGACAACGGTGTTGGCATTTAGCCATCCATAACGTACGTGGACATAGTGAACTACTTGTTGTTCACGCCAAGTCCGTATACGGTGGATGACTTGATATCTTAAAGCTCTTGAGGCTTATGATCTGTTCATCTGTAGCAGGGTCAGAGAAACAGCTGCCTTTGAGTGCCAAGAAAGCAAAATAGTTGTCACAGCCAAGGTAAGCTCTTTCTTTCTGAAAAATATATATATATTTTTAAAAACTAAAATAAATGGTATATATGTATATATATGAACATAGCTTTCAATAATGGAGAAAAAAGTGTATATACAGTATAGTATACTAAAAGTTATATAATTTTACTAGAAGAATTCACACTGGGGTCTGGAGGAATTTCTATCCAGCACACTAGTCACTAGGACATCCAAGACCTCAGAATGAATCCACCTAGTACTGTACAGTACTTCAGTTTGAATTTAGTTCAAACATTATTGTGCACTGTAACTGCAAATACACAATCATTACAGGCGAGATTGAACCACAACTTCAGATGGAGGCTAGGTAATCTCCTCTAAAGTTTAAAATAAATTACCCAACTCCCAAAAGTAGTTGATAGTCATCGTACCTGTACTGAAAAGGGTATTTGAATTTCTCAGTTTATGATCTGTAGCGTGTGTGCATGTGTATACATGTATTTATGTTATGTGAATAATTATATAATTATAAATATATTTAAGCAAGCACGAATAATCACGCATGATTTTATTTCAGTCAAAGCCTCTTATTTGTGTAAAATACTTCACTAGCTCCTATTCATTCTGCTCAATACAAACATGCACATTGACAAGATCCAATCTTCAAAAGTATAATCAATTTCAGATCTAAAAGTTTTACACTATTTTCTGGTTTTGAACAGCCAGCCAGCACTCAATACAGTAATGACCTAAATTGCCATCTATAGAATAGTTAATGTTGGTCCATTTTCAAGTGACTTTTAGCATTTTCTAATTATGATGCAAACTTTTCAATTTTTTTGCTCAGCTGTTGACATGTTCTGAATATCATATGAACCAGGCATGAGGAGACACTAGCCCATAACTGGACTAATTTAGCTATAGTACAGTAATGGTCTGCATTTTATGGATTTATTCTTAAACAGCACAGTATATAGAAAGTTACCGTGTATTTCCCTCAAGAAGCCTTACAACCTTCAGTCATTAGATGTATACAGTATAGTACAGTATAACCATATTTATAAGTTAAAGCATCAAGTTTAGAATTAGCATATAGGCCAGAGTAACATGCCTGCTGCAGTTAAGGAAAGATCAACATGGAAATCTTCCAAAGTTTTACAGAATAGATTTATTAGCATTTTCAAGCCGAAATTTAAAAATTTCCTTGGTATGGTATATTGCAGACATTTCCAATGCACATTAACATTTATCAATAACAATCGAACAATTAAGGTTAACAAAAAAAATATAACTAGAGCATTACAGCCATTTTGAGGCAATAGAGAAGCTAGGAGCAACAATCAAACTTGGAAATCAAGTGTGCTCCATAAACATCTAATTCAGTACCATAGTTCTCAACTTTTTATTTTTGTCAAGGTTGAGAATGCTCCACTACTGTTTCATTGACCTAGGCAGCCATGGTATAAAAACAAGCGCGTTTTGAACAGGAGGGCAAGATATTCGGGTTCAAAGACGTTTAATGTTTGAAGTTTAATAGACTACCTTTAACTGCCAAGGTAACAAAAATTATATACAAGAACATAACCATTAATTTAAAAAATTGTGTAGTATGTCTGCAATGAAAACGAGTAACTATCCTAACAATGGGACATTTTTGGAAAATGTTTGGCAACCAGTTACATGACTCGGTAACAATGGGGATCTTCGTTGCAGCACAATGCATGGTGGTGCTTATCTATCAGCAGGAAGACAACCCCCATTACCATTGGTGGTCATGTGTTTTCTGGACTATTTGTTCAAAAGCCAAAGGATTGGTCATAATGGTTTATGCCCCATATCCCCAGTGTCAGCATAGGACACGATTACACTTCTTTGGTGCATACCAAAATAGAAATTTGCATTTAACCGACACCATCAGTAATGCAATTAAACAGTCCGTTCCATAGACCAAAATCAAATACTTTTAAAGAGATGGTACTGTAATGTGCACAAGTTAAAACTATTGATACATAAAAAAATCTTTACGTGTTGCATGTTGAAACACTATGCCTTAGTTCACTTTGAAAGTAATTTAGAAATGACCAGCAAAGTACAGTATTATATAACCTATACTGTCCATCCAGTTTAATAATAATGCCTGCACACTAAAAATGGATCTGGCACCTACTAGCCATAAGCTACCTTATGGACAATATTCTCACAAATGTGCAATAAATAGTTAGCTAAGATTATAGCTTAATTTACATCCCAATCCTCTTTGAACCTCATTTTCTCACGAGACTACCAATACTAAAAGCCTCCAAGCATCCTTGACTACGATCTGTTATTTGACAAACTTAGGAACACAGAACATAGGAATTAAATATGGAGAAACTCTCACTTGACCTTTGTCAGTCATCTACTTGTCATTAACTTGATACTTATGTCAAGAAACTAGAGTTTTGTACTTATAAAACATTCATTAGTCATTTATGCCAGATACCCAAAACACCCAAGACCATTTATTTAACCTCCTCTCTTACCTGTGTGTAGTTTCAAGTTTTTCTACTCCTGCAGCCCATAAGGGGTTAATACCTTCCTGTGCACTGATCGCCCGGGAGACGTCACCCTGGAGGACATTCACATTAATAATGGCATTTGCATTGATGAACCTTATTGTATATCAGTAGTAAGGGCATGATAAAGCTACAAATCGTTAACCCTTAGACAGCAGTTATCGTCACATGTTGATTCACGGGGTAATGCGGTTATCGCCATATGATGATTCAAACCATTATTGTCTGGGTATCACATGTATGATACAAATAAGGATATAATAGCTATGTGGATGCAATGGAGATTACCTTGACCTACAAAAAAAGCCTGCTATAGTTTCATGATTACGTTGCCATGTGAATGCAGTTATCGTCACCAATTTTACTATGTGATCGTTATCACTGAACAAAATTCAATCATAATTACATGGTATGTATACCAATGAACGTGTGGTTTTCACATTGGTATGGTTGTGACGAGTTATGCCCGGTAAACCAATCAACTGAATATCATGCACCGTGTACTAGGAGCCTTCATTCATCTGTGGGTGGCACATTGGTGGCTTATGCCTTTGTTTCATTCTATACTGTTGCCCATATCGTGCTAATTAAGCCATGTCATTGCCCAGAGCCCAACAGCAATGTACAGTATTATATTTGTTTTTCATTACTCTATATGGCTGCAATGAACTATACCAGGTAAATCAATAAATTAGAACTATCATATGTTATGAGAATTGTGTGGATTTATCAAGTTATCCAGCACACAATCTTATAGAGAAACAAGGAATAATCAATGAAACATTCAAGAATATGGGCGTTGTCTCGCATTTCTCAGCATCAGCAAAGTCTGCATCTTGTGTTGACAGATGCCAGACCACAGCCACCACAACCTTTCAGTGTGGCTTCACCCAGTAAAAATGTAAATATTCACATTATCACATTTTTCTTACATTTTGCATACAAATAATGCAATAATGAAAAATTATTTAAATTAGTTTTTTACACATGTGCAGGAATGATCATTTTTATATCGCCGCTGTCCAAGGGTTAAAAATCTCTCACACATCTGGAGAAAATACTTCATCCAATATACAAAAAGCAGACCCCACAGGCCTATATCTAGTGTACTGTACAGTAAAGTACTCTCAACCGTAATAATAATAATTACCGTAAAGTAATAACTCTTAGTTCCACATCACTTCTTTGCCCTTTCCAATAAATATTTGTTATATAATATTTAATATCAAGGTTCGTCAATGAAAATTCCTCCATTAGCCCTTCAAAAGTAAAATGCAAGAAAAATAATGTCTTTAAATTACTGTACTATATTAGGCATAAATATTTACCATAAAACTATTAGGCCTAAATATTTACCATAAAACTTGCAAAGCATGAATTATATGTTGCATTGGAATGAATAAATTTAAAAACTTGCTAAAATGCCATAGTGCTTGAATGAAGGTGAAAGACCCAGTGTGTTTAAGTGTAATAAACATTAATTTTTGGATGTAACCTACATCCTTTCTCAAGGTACTGTATTCAATGTTCTGAACGAGATTCAGGGAGTTTGCATTTATAAATTTGGCGGAGCACCTAACTTAGCATACATCATTAGATGTCGTGATTGTGATTCCCAGGGACTTGCCAAGTGATGTCAAAGTTTCAGAAGAATGTTTGTTTATGCTGATTTCTGGGAATTGTGGTTAAGGTTCTGCAGACTATCCCTACACTGGACATAAGGTTTGTGCTTGCGTGAATTAATGAGGGTTTAGTTTTGCTTCCATAAGAATATTATTAGTTAATCGGATCTATTTTATTATTAGTTAATCAGATCTATTTTATTAAAAGATTTATTTTCCTTTACTGTTTATAATAATTACTATTATGCACCTTTGATACTTAGCATATTTGAATTTGAATTATAGAACTCTATACAACTGCTCAAATATCAAAGACATCTAATAAAAAGGGAGTAGATTCTATGGAGGCAGTAAAAGGAAATAAATCTTACTAAAATTAAACCCAATTAACCATAAAAGTACTGTACTGTATTCTTACAGAAACAAAACTAACTCCTCATTAATTCACATAAGCACAAACCTTGTAATGTTCAGCATAGGGATAGTGAGTCTGCAGAACCCTGCCCCACAGTTCCCAGAAACCAGCATAAATGAACATTAGTCTGAAACTTGGACATCACTTGGCAAGTCCCAGGTAAACAATCACATCTAATGATGGATGCCAAGTGAACGCTAACTCCCAGAATCTTTTTCAGAACATCGAATACAGCACCTTGGAAAAGGATGTAGGTTACATCCAAAAATTTGTTTTTTAATACACTTGCACATTTATTGGGTCTTTCCTTCACCTTCGTGAATATAAATTAATAATCAATTTAAGAATTACCAGCAACTGTGCTCTTCATTGCCATTCTGAAAAGTAATTATTTTTGTATTGTTTGATATTAAGAGTGCCAATGCCATAGAATTTTACAAATGTAAAACTGTACAACTTCAATGATAATCAGGGACCCAGAAAGCTCAAAATTATTTGAATAGAGTAACTTAAGGTTCTTGCTAGTCCTCAGAAATGATTTCCACTAGACAATCAGTACACTGGAAGGTTTTTGTCACTTGTCATGCAACCTGGCCAATGACCAGTGCCACAGGTCACTGGCAAAAATGATGCACTTCCATCAGTTGGTTCCACAGCTTCCATACAATTCACAAACACACCCTCCACTAAATGCCACATTTATGTAGATTATTTTATCAGCTTGGTTTTAGATTTACTTTAACTGCATAGGCTACTCATTCAAAACCTTGTCACAAAATGTACCATATTATAGTTTCTAACTTCCATAATCTTCCCAAATTATTATTCTCCCTTTTTTTAAACACTGCCCCAAATTCCCATATTATTAATCTGAAATCATAAGCAGCAGTCTTCCCATAATTTATCTGCTTTCAATTCCCTACTCCCTGATAATCTCTCGAAATTTATGATTGTTAAACCATGTTCAACGCAATGGCTTTAGTGAATGTGCCGTATTTCTAAGCCACAGTTCATTTTTAATACTGTAGCTATTAATTTGCCATTAATCATATGCATACCCAATCATACATGTGTAATTAACATTTATGGTGCTAATTTAGGGATACTACACATTACAATATGAAGTTTCATAAGATTTCAGTGTTAGGTTTACCAGTTCTTTTGTTCCATGGAATTAGATACCAAACTTATGACAGCTACTAACTCCTTTACTATACAAAACTAATGTCTAAAACTAGTGCATATTTAACTATGTGTACTGATGATATTAAATATATCTAGTATAAAAGTGGAACTACAGTAATGTCAAATCTTAAAACCATTCACCACAATAGAAGAAACATACACGATGAAATCGTAATACTGTACTGTACTGTAATGTGACATCTGAGAAAATCAATGGAGTAGGATAGCAGACCTAACTGACATCCTGGGGTCACCCCAGACATGCACCTTACCCCATGGATCACAAATATGCTTAAATGTTACACAACCTGGAGTCTGCCCAAACTTACGATGAATTTAGAGGCACTGAGCAGGTACAGTACCCAATCCAGTTATTAAATTGAGAAATTTTTAATACTTAGGAGCAAGAAATAAATTTTCAACATATGAAAATTTGAACAAGACAAGGCCTGGTTATGACATACAAAATTATTCCCAAAACCATCACAAGGTAAGTAAGTAGGATAATCACTGGTAAGATGGACTAAAATAAAAAATTGTAAAGGGCATAAAAGGCAGCTGATTTCACCACCTACTCCAGAGAAAACTGTTCTGCACGTTGCATTCTATAGCCTACTGTAAACAAAACTAGCCCTCCCTCACGTATGAATACAAATAGGAAGTAATACCAGTAGTAGTTGGTGAAATTACAATATAATCAAATAATTATTTAAAATTAGATATTGTATTTTAATTTACTGATACTCAAACCAGCTAGAGTACACAAATGTCAAAAGGACCAGCATTCTCAGGTTAGGTCACTGACTAACAAGTGCACACACCAGCAATTTAAATGTTTCCTTGTTGTAACCTATACCTCGAGGGGATTCAGCATCTACAGAAGTGGTCTTTATTTCTAGCAGAAGACCAAGCCAGGAATTTTGATGTGTATCACCTGTTAAGCAAGTGATCCATCCATATACTCCCATGTTGCAAAACTATCTACTAACTCAAAATGCATTTCAAATTTCACCGTTACAATATAATCAAACTACAATCTATACAAACTATTATTGTTTGTATAGTTCAATGCACTAATTTACTATTATTTCATTTAATATCGCATTTGTTTAATTTAATTTTAATATACAATCCATTTTCTTTATACAGAGGAACTTGGACACTTCGTTTAACTTCTAACAAAAAATTTCAGAACTAACGCTATTCGAAAGTTTGTGCAGCACTTTAACGTGTAACAGACGAGTCAGTTTCCCAGCAACATCGTCCAGTGCACAACCCCACTAAACTACTTTGTAAACATTGTGTTTTCTTGGATATTTTGTGTTCTCAGTGTAAATCAGTCATGATGCCTAAAAAGTTACTAGTCAGAGCCAAATGAAAAGGAAATTAGAACAATAAGAGATGAAAAAACTGCAAAATATAAAAATGATCTCGGCGTGTGTTCTTGCTAGAGTTTAGTATGCATAGTTATTTAATAAAAAATGTGATCAAAGTGGAGGAGCAACATTTTCTTGAAAAATATCCTAACAAAAACAATGGCAACCCATGTTATTAACCTTTTTGAATGACAATGGTATATCTCTTAAAAACATTAAAATGTAGGCAAAAACAAATATCACCGGATGGGCTTTCTTTTAAGAAAAGCATCCAGTAAGTCAAGAGGAAACTGGAAAATGACGAAAGGTAAAGGACCTCAAACAATTACCCATTTTTTGTTTAATAGAGTAGGGAACTCCCATGCCAAACAACAACCTCTCTCTCTTTACCTTCCACATGTGCCATCAACTCTTAAGTACAGGTAAACTGAGATAAATTGAAGCAAACGTGTTATTTGCATTTTTGGGGTCTAACAGATTAACCCAATTTATATTTGGTGCTCAAAATAGATCAGCACTACTGGTCGTTTAGGAACCTAATTAGTGAGAGTATTTTTCAAATACTTTGAGTAAAGTTTGTTTTTCAAATACTTTTAAAGTTACACTATTTCTAAAAAAAAAATCACATTTGTGACTTCCTACTCTCCCTTCCCCTACCATTCAAAATTTGTCATGGCTATTTTTTTTCCTAACAGCACTCAATACAGGCATAAATTGTCAAAATGTAATGATATAAAATATTGTAAAAATGTAATGATCTAAAACAAGTTAAAATGCAACTTGCATATTCAGCCCAAAAATAGCACAAACCCCCCATGAAACACCGAGCCAATGACAAATTTAATCTATAAAAACAATAGTTGAGAAAACCTCTAATTTATAGACCCTTATTAACAAGCGTGGTAGTCAAAACACTAGAAACAATAGTTGTAGCCTTTTGAGTTGAACCCCTAGAGTAATGAGAACGGACAAACGGTATGGTTTTCGAACAGAAGATCCTGTGTAACAAATCTACTTAGTTTTTATGACAATACAGTAAAGAGGTAGTCAGGCTGACTATCTGGACCTATCTGTATCTGGAAAGGCTTTTGACAGAGTCCTACACAAGAGACTGTTCTGGAAACGAACATGCTAGTGATGGAGACTTCTGACATTGATGGAAAACATTCTAACCGACAGATGAGGGCGATAATCAGTGACAATGTATCTGACTGGAGGAGTGTTACTAGCGGAGTACCTCAGTTCTTGCACCAGTAATGTACATTGTTTACGTAAAGAAGCTACCAAAAGGAATACAGAATTATTTAAACAGGTTTGTGGATGATGCCAAGATATTGGGGAAGATACGAGGCACAGACGATTGCAATGCCCTTCAAATCGGTCTAGATAAAGTAACTGCTTGGAGCGCAGTGGCAAAGGGAATTCAATGTGAATAAATGCCATGTTATGGAATGTGGAATTGGAGAAAATAGACCACACATATCTTGCAAATTACGGGGAAAGGAATTACAGAATAAAGAACGAGACTACGGGTGGTTTTGGATAGTAAGCGCTTGCAAGAAGAACAAAATAGTGAGTAGAGTGCGTCGCTTTCCAACTTCAGACTTGGTTTTAATTAGTATATGGATGGTGAAATACTAAAATTGTTCATGACTTTTGTGAGACCAAAATTGGAATATGCAGCAGTTGTATGGTGACAATTTCAAGCACAAAGTAACTGGAAAAGGTGCAGTGGCATGCAACAAAATGGCTTCCGGAACTGAAACACACAAGAGTTACGAGGAGACAGACATTAAACATGCCAAAACTAGAAGATAGTAGAAAATGTGATGTGATCACCACATACAAAATACTAACAGGAATCTACCAAATTGAAAAGAATTCCTGAAACTAGCAACATCACATACAAGAGGACACATAAGCTAAGGAAACAAAGGTGCCAAAAAAAAACATTAAAAGTTTTCTTTTGTAAACATTGGTAGACGGTTAGAGCGAGCTAAGTGAGGTGATGGTGGAGGCCAAAACGGTTTATACTGTAGTTTCAAAGCGTTATACCACAGTACTGGGAAGGGGGGACACAAGCGTAGCTCATCCTGTAACTAAACTTAGGTAATTACAAGTCCACGTTACTCCATACATCACTTAACCCTTAGGCCGTCACTTAACAGGGAGCCGGTCGGCCGAGGGGAGAGCACACTGGACTTGTGATCCTGTGGTCCTGGGTTCGATCCCAGGTGCCGGCGAGAAACAATGGACAGTTTCTTTCACCCTATGTCCCTGTTACCTAGCAGTAAAATAGGTACCTGGGTGTTAGTCAGCTGTCACGGGCTGCTTCCTGGGGGTGGAGGCCTGGTCGAAGACCGGGCCGCGGGGACACTAAAAGCCCCGAAATCATCTCAAGATATATCTCAAGATAGGCAGCGATCATCATCATAAGCCGATTCACAGGATAATGCAGTTAGTTACACGACTAATTATTCTCTGGGTGTAACGATGCAAACAAGGATGTAATAAATATGTAGATGTAATAGCATTTTCCTTTATCCTTGAAACAAAATCCTGCTCATTAGTTACTAATAAATACTATTATTAGTTACTAGATGAATGTTGTTATTGTCATATGACAGTTTATATAATTAATGCCTGGGTTTTCCCTGTATGATTCAAATAAAGATATGGTTAGTCTATGTAGATGTAATGGAGTTTTCCTCGATCCTTGAACAAAATCCTGCTCTCCATAGCTCTTTTCTTATCTTATTTAGCTCTCGTCTCTTTTTCCCCTCATTCTTCGCCATTAGGGCTTTACAGTTTTCTTCACTCATAACTCCTATGGAATACAGTACTTCAACCTTCTTGGCTTCCAACACATTTTTACCTTGCATATTGATTTCTTCACACGACTGAAGATGGTTCAGGATGGGCCAAAACATCAATTTAATAAGTGTTGGCTGGGCCTCTCATTTTCAGCTATATTAATGACTTTTTTGTTTCATTATCTGACCTAATTTGCCTGCTTATGATATATTAATGTGCTAATTTGACAATATTTATAAAATCTATACATTGTGAACTGAAGAATATCCCCTATCAGGCTTGTGCCAACTTCCATGTCCAGCCACTCCATGTGGCCTGGGATTGAAAGTGACTGCAAATCATAAATTGCAACATCTTCCAGATACTAAATGAAATATATGATCACTAGTGCCTAGTTCATTGCCTACATTATTGTTGCTTTGTTGGCCGGTGCCAAATGTACCTCAACTGTACATGGATTAGGTTGTACAAGTTCTTCTCCCCAATCCCAGACTGTGGCTGGGCTCAACTTGTGAGAGCTTGGTCCATGAGGCTCGTAGATAGTTTAGTGGACACACAAGTAATACACAGGGTCTGAAAATCCCTGTGTAGCCTACACTGATGTACTAAGTTCCACAAAATATCATGGGGCAGTATTGCCATTCACAAGTTCTGCCACTAATGGAAATATATCTAACCTAAGCGTTAAGAAAAAAAAAAAAAACTTAAGGATAGGCATTACGTATGTATTCACCAACATTAAATACATTACCAAAATTAAAAAATTATAAACTGCAAAATGCAGCAGTAGTCTCTGCCACCGTCTCAGTATGTTTTATTTTTTATAAAAGGAATATTACATACTAACAACTATCAAGATAACGGCCACCAAATCGAACTTATGAATACAATTATGACCGAATATACTTTCACACGTATATATCTGTATTGGCTTTTGTGAACAAAGGCCCCTCACACCTCTCTACAGTCTATATAGAAACATGCCTTCACGAGGACAATGAGCCGAGCTAAACCCTCCCAGTCCCTCGACAAGTTGTTAGATCCAGTGACCAGACGAGGCAGGAGGCAGGGAGGGAGGCAGGAGTCCATTTTGTGAGGCGAAAGTGTCTCCTGCACGCTCCTGCCTCCTCTCACAACTCTACCACCACCACCTACATACACAACCGCCAGCGCATAAACCTGCTGTAAATAAAAATAGAACCTCGATATACTTCACTAAAAACTGCTAAAAAGCTCTCTCTCTCTCTCTCTCTCTCTCTCTCTCTCTCTCTCAAGGATTACTGATGAAAAAATAACGAGGCGGGCATGGCGTCGTTTCCATATTAACCCAAAAACTTACCAGGAAAAACTCTTCCAAAGTTAACAAAACACAGGAACGACACGCAAAAATAAACTAAATTAGCAAAGGGTCTGGACAGATACATCAAAGTTAAAGGGCGGGAGATGGAAGAGTTGTGAAGGCCAAGAGGTGATGGAGGAGGTGCTGCGTACCGTAATGGCCGCCTGGCCGCCCTCGGCCCCAATACCTGCCACCCCGTCCTCGCCTCACACAATACCTCCAACCACCGTCTTATTGACCCTCCGAGGCACTCCGCCACACTCCCCACACATTACGCCAACTCCTGAAGACACTTACCTGATGGGAACATGCACTTTGTCGCTAAAATACTGGATGTAGAGAGAGCTGCGGCGGGGGTGCAGGCGGCGGTGGCTTGGTCGGGTGAGGCGCGGGGTGACGCTGGCGGCCAGGCCTCCCTCACCACCTAGCCCCCGGCAACCCCTGGCAACCCCCACACACCTCTCCTCACCACTCATAGATGGCGCTCACCACCACTACCCATCTCTCATAACGCTTTAAATTCAAATATTTATTTAGGTAAAGTACATACATACAAGGGGTGATACAGATATTAATGAATTTATAGATAGAGCTAGTACATACAAGGCCTAAAGTCACTATTACGCAAAGCGTTTCGGCTTCCCATGCTTCCCAAAGCTTCTTCCCACACTCCTTCTATACCTGAATTTACCTGAAGGACACTTATGCGTTACCTGAAGGACACTAATGCTAGTGGCTATGAGATCCGCCCTGTCATGCCTGATTTACAGTGATGTTAGCCCTGTGGGCCTCTGCCGTTCATGATACGAGAGATGACTTAGCTCTGGAATGATTTTTGTTACCTATCCTATCCCGATACCTGATACCTATGATGATACCTATCACATTTCCCTACAGAAGTTTTCAATATATTCCTAAATGGATGAATGAAAAGTCGAATGGTTCAGTTGGTAGAACAAGGTGGAAACCAAACTGTTACATTAGAGCTTTAGTGGATTATGCTGCACCTTTGCTTGCTTTGATGCCTGAAAGAAAGCTTAGAGGGCTTGAAAAATTGCAGAACGAAGCCTTGAAGAAAATCTTTGGGGTGCCCTCATACCACAAAGATACGTAACATGAGAAATGAACTTAATATTCCGAGCGTCGTTAATCGTGTTACTGAAATTAACTGTCAAATTGGTATAAAAATGCTTAGGCTAGCTCATCCTAACCCTTGCACAGAAGCCCTCCAGAATTTCTTTATTGAAGATCAACATTCTTCCAAATGGATAACTAAAACTGAAACTGAACTCAGAATGTATCAGATTTATAATTTGTACCAAGAGAGACAACAACGGCACTTTCCTGTACTAAAGAGACTAAACGCTTTCCAATTTTAATCCCTCCCTTTCCACCCAAGAAGCAAATTAGAGATCAGCCCAAGCTTCGTCTTGAAGCAAAGCTCAATGTCTTAAGCCATATTGATGCTCTGTCCAAAGAGCATTCTCTCTCTCTCTCTCTCTCTCTCTCTCTCTCTCTCTCTCTCTCTCTCTCTCTCTCTCTCTCTCTCTCTCTCTCTCTCTCTCTCTCTCTCTCTCTCTCTCTCTCTCTCTCTCTCAAATCATATACACTGATGGTTCATTACACCGCCCCACGGGTGCAGTTGTCTTGACAATGCAAGAAGCAAATACTTGCTTCAAGGTTGTATGTCAGGTGTGAGATCTGAACTCGGCACACCTCAAGGAGTGTGTTGTCAGTGTTGAGTCCCACCCTTTCTAATATACTATAATGAATATGATAGCATCTGAGAGATACTCAAATGAGGTAATTCCGATCATATATGCCAATGATACTTTATTTCAGGGCAAAGATATTTCAAAGATTCAAACAGTGTTGGATAATTTCGGAAATTTGTGTCACCAAATGGGACTGGCGGTTAATGAAGACAAAACTAAGTTTGAATGTAAAAGTCGGAGGCCCATTATACTGAAAATAAACGGTAAAAATATAGAGAGCGTTAATATATATAACTATTTAGGCATATATGTTGGATATACCAATGAGAGTTTGGAAGCAGAGATGAACCGACTGTTGGGTCAATGTCGGAAGAGATTACAACCTCTGCAAGTTACAGCCCCGCTCCTGTGCCAGGTAAGTCCACTACGGGCTCACCATAGCCCGTGCTACTTGGAACTTTTTGTTCCCAGTAGCTGAATCTTAAACAACAACAACCACCTCTGAAGGCCTTGGCATGCTGTGGAAAGGGAGTGGGAGTCCCTGTGCTACGAATGATATACTTGAGTACTGTAAGAGCCATTATTGATTATGCTGCACCTGTCATTTCTTGTTTTGGTAAAGATAGGATGGAAAAGTTGGAGAAGGTACAAAATGAAGCCATGAGAATTATCTTAGGATGCCCAGGAAATGCTATGATTGAGATAATGAGGATGGAGTTGAATCTGAAGAGTATTGGGGATAGAATTTCAGAGATAAATGTAGCCTCTGCCATTAGATTAATGATAGGTGGGGGAGCTAATGAATTAATCCTCTCAGTACAAAAGGTGGGAAGTAATGAACAATGTATGATAAAGAAGAGAGCATATATGAGTAACTTATGTTCTAATGTTATGAAGTATGATGTTATTACAGAATGTATTGCTCTGCCTATGAGACAATTCATACCACCATGGGAGGACTGTAACATAAATGTAGTAATTATTCCCTTGCAAAAGAAAAAAAGTATGTATGAGATAGGAGAGCTGAGGGCAACATATGATTGCATAATTAGAAAATTCCCTACAGAAAACACTCTACATGTATATTGTGATGGGTCAGTAGCTAGGGATGGGAAGGCAGGATGTGGAGTCTTGATCAGGGAGTACACTGACATCGGCACTGTAGATACTGTTATTGGACGCCGCTTAACTTACAATGTCTCTTCAACGCAGGCTGAATTCCAAGGTGTATTAGCAGGATTACAGGAAGTTGTCTAATGTGGTAAAAATGCCTGCTTTTATTGACAGTAGAGGAGCGTTAGAATCTTTAAATAGTGACGCCCAGTTTACCAAAATATTGTGATAGAGTGTAGAGAGATGTTAAGAAATTAGAAAAAACTGGGTATAAAGTAAGATTCATATGGATCCTTCACAGGTGGGAATACTGTTGAATGAGGTAGTTGATGAAATAGCGAAGAGAGCCACGGAAAAAACTCTTATTGATGTTGTATGTCAGATAACTTTGAAACAAATTAAAACAAGAATCAAGATGAGCCAAGAGGGTAACGAAATGATAGAGAATGGCAATGGTGGACAGTAGTAACACATTTAAGAATTATTCAGTGATAAATACAAATTCGTTCTTCACCTATGATAGAGGAAAGTCTACTTGGAAGGATTCAATTTACATGAGATTAAGATTAGGATACAAATATATCTGGCAATATATTTGTATCCTAATATGTTGATGTCGGTGAAAAAGATAAGGAGTGTAAATTATGCAGTATGCCGCACGCCCACACCTTAGAACATTATGTATTAGTGTCAACTTATTGATAACTATAAAAATAAGGAAATAAGTAGTGTACCACATCAAATTGCTTGGATGTGTGATAATGGTATGATAGACAGAATACTTAGGAGCTACAAGAATTTTGCCCTAAGAGTGTAACACTTATATGCTGTGCTTCCTATATTAACCTGCAATGTTAAATGGGATTCTTGTATTGTGATTTGTGTATTTGTACTCACTGAATTTGTGTGCGCCTTGAGGGACTTGAAGTAGAGGAGGGTAGAAATAGCCTAAGCTACTCCATCCCTTTGAGATGTATTTTTTTCTTGTCTCAATAAACATACTTGAACTTGAAGGTAATAAATCTTGCTTATTTACTAAAATGCTTGGGTAAAGTTGCTTTAATATGGTAGGATGTATATAAGATTTAACTTTGTATGTTAAAGCTTTACAGAATTTTATTACTGGGACTTAGCAATTTGTTGTAATAATAGAAGGAATGTATTAAAACATTGATAGAGGTTTGGAACATTATCATTAGTTAAAACTTATGTTATACAGTATAAATGTGTAAAAGCTAATGGGTGTAGCCTTGTAGAGTACTGATCACATTTACCCAAGGCCCACTATCTCTCTAGTAACCTCAGTGAGAACAAGAAACTGGCAACTTGTTAAAGGTAACTCCAATTGTCCTTGAAATTTTTTTCAATCAGGATTTTAAACTGAAGTGATTAATGCCTTGGCATTTACAGCTTCTGCAGGCAGGCAATTCCATGGGTATGTTGCCCCTAATTAACCCTAATTATTTATATTTTATACATCTCAAGATAACCCCCCCCCCCTGTATGCATTACATTTGAATATTTAAAGAAAGTCTTAGATAAATATCCCGCAACTTCATTATTTTAATATATTGCAGGATATTTATCATATGCATCATAAGTCTCAATGCAATCAGCCCAATCTTGTCTGGTTTGCAGTGTGTGGCCCTCAACCATTCCAGATATGAGAGTTGAATTAGTTCTGGGATGATTTTTTGTCTGTGTTGATCTGTCAATAACAATAACAAAGTGGTCAATAACCACTTTGTTTTCCTTGTACAGTCAAAGGTTAGTTTGACTATTACTAAGGTTTTGTTGGCAATTTTTTATTAAAGCTCCCACTTGTGCAACTTTCAATGACTAGGGGATCCTAGCTCCTAGGTTCTTTTCTTCAGCACTCTGCTGCATGGTAGAGATCTAATTATAGTTCTAATGAGCAATGTCAAAAACTAAAGCTCCATTTTCAGCATGGAGGCTGAAAAAAGGCCCACGAGAAAGGATTTTAAAGAGCATAAAATCCTTAAATAATTCAGTACCAAAGTTCAATCCTTCACATCAGAAAGCAAAGAAACTACATTACATCTGCCCGAAACGCTACATTTTGGTCTGTCCTGGGGCATTAAGTTGTGTAATCGACTTGATAATAGTCAGCAGGCCGAAATGTTGTAGTTTCTTCATTTTCTGATGTGTGGTTTAGACATCATTTTTTCATCCACGTTATTATGACTCGTTGTCTTCAGTTCTTCACGATTAATATTATTCAAGATTGAAATGTTGTCAGTGATGCATAAATAAGTGGAATCCATACCTAAATTAAAGTCCAATTTTCTGAAGGTGCAACTACAGTATTGACAATGTAGAATGAACTTGTACTATACTTTTAAAAAATTATAGTCCTGGAATTCTACTACTAGGAGAAAGGGATCAATCTATAACCCTAATTATTTTATATAATACTGTAATGTGCAGTTTGCTGACCATAGTGTGTTGGGGAAGGGCCACGTATGTGCTTTTTATAACAATGTAGCCAGACTATTGTTTGAAATGTTTAGAATAATAAATATTTTATGAGTATTCTAATTGTTTTTTGTCAGCGTACTCAATCATGGAGAAAATGCTAGACACACTGTACTAGAATACATTCTTGCAGTCAGTAATTTTTTTGCATTAACTTACATAACCTTGCTTGCAATGCAAGTAAGTAATTATCAAAAGAAGGCACCAAGCTGGGAAGGCTATGTAGCATTGCAATGCAAGATTATTAAGTCATTGATATTTCAGGTACATGTACTGGTATTAGCTTATTAAGGAGCACTCAATTTCTCAGTTACACTTTTTGCCAATTCAAGAATTTACTTTCACAATTCAAGCACTTTACTTTCTTGTTAACCGCTAGTCATTTTTTGGAATATACTGTGTTGTTCTTGCACCCTTGATCTTCAATCTTTCATGAGCAGTTTGTGGAGCTTTTATTGATCTCAGACTTTTATTTTCACTTTCCAAGGTGAAGTACATGCACTTTGCATTGCATAATTTTCACCTTTCAACACTTCATTAAAATGTTAAAGGTTTTGTTTATATTGGAATAACCTCTTGCATGGATCTGCCTGTCCATAAGTCCCTCAACAGTATCAGTCGATTATTTATGCTCACACTTTTCAAAATTCGACACCTTCCCAGGCTAGGTCTCAAGGCCAGTCAAGTTCTAAAGTTCATCACTAATTTTATTGATTATTCTGGTCCCTGGTTACAAATATACCTATTTTGCTAAAGACTAGCCCCACATTGGTCGCATCAAGGAAATATATATTAAAAAGCTACTTCTAAACTAATCACACTAAAATCCTATATGAAATGCCATTATTTATTTTAAAATGTGTTCTCAATATATTGGAATAATGAATGATTTAATATATTGCCTTTTGTGTTGGAGTTCATACATAGTGGAGGTTTAATTTTTATTCAAGTATTTATTTGTAAGTCACACACATGGTAAAACATTTGCTCCAGTCAAATCTGGGTTTGTAATAAAACAAGATGAAGAACTGTGGAACTTCATTGTTCACAAAAACTTAAAAACAATCCATACCTTTCATTTTAATTTGTACTACCACAATTTACAAATGATATAATTTTTAGCTTTATGGAATTGTCTGTGAAAGGTATGGCATACTGTGACATTCATCCATTCACACAACCTTATAAAAACTAGATAACCCTAAAATGAAAAGTAACATGAATCCTACTGGGTGTATGGAAATCGAATGAATATAAACATGTAACGATCACAATACATAGGATCCAAGTGATCTTTTTCCGAACAGTCAAGTGTCATAACTTGAAAGTGATAAACCAAGAATTATACATTTATAAAATGAAATCAGGTTTTATGAACTCTGTGAATTGACAAACGTTATTGTCAATCTCAATGAGTGATCGTACATTTCTCATAGCTAGACATGGTGAGAAAATATCTTATGTCCGAGGTAGCTACTTCACAAGCGCCCTCTTCATACAGCAGCCTCAAGTTATAAATTCCACACACTCTGAAGACACTACTGCCTTCATCTTGATTTGCATCTGTAAGAAAATTTAAATTTTGTCAGTGTGCATATGACAATGTATATTGAAGTATAATAATTATGCATTAGGAAAGAATGACAAAACTGTCATGGAATTCACAATTACAGTAATTTTAGTTAAACAAGAGTAATACAAGACAGGTTACATTTTTTTATTATAGTTGATAGAAAGGTATCCCCAGATTGTTTATATCGAAATATTCAATATTGATGCTGTGACTGAGGGATTAATGGTTGGTAGTAACAGAAATTAGACTCTAATTCTCTACTGCTACTCCTCACTTCATAAGAAAAAATTGGGACAAATCATATATACTGTATACACACACAGGAATTTTTCTTTATGAATCTCATGTTAATAGGCATAGTATTTTTTATAATTTTAAAGTTTTTAATCAAGTTATCAGCATCAGTAGATGCCACCGAAGCATGCCTGCACCATTTGAGTGTCAATGCCACACGTACACACATACCCATCACTAAACAGAATTGAAGTTAATGAAGACACTTGGAGGGACTGGACGTACCAAAAGCAGTAGGACCAGACCAGATATTACAATGGTTACCCAAGGAAGTTGCAGGGAACTTGTGTTACCCATTAGCAATAGTGTTCAACATTACACTAACAACAGGAGAGCTAACAGAAATTTAAAAAAAAGGTAAAAGCAGTTCTTGTACTCAAGAAAGAGGACAAATAATGAAGCACTAAATTATAGATCAGTGTCATTAATTAACACACATTTTACCAATGACACAAATGCATCATCCGTACTCAGAGATTAAATGTTCCGATGATACTAAAACACGTCATCTGATTGCTATGTCTTTGGTTTCCAGTTCCTAAGCTATTTTATTTGCATCAGCCAGTGTGAAAACTTATGAAACTCGTCATTATTGTGTGGATGAAGAGTATCTAGGGCACGAGTGAATCGACCAGAGTTTTCCGGTTGCCCATGAGGCCTCAGTTGAGACAAACATTCTCTTATAAACACACATTTTTTTTGCATTACACTTAAAGAGAATTTATTTGCAAATATTTTGACACCGAATTTGTAGTTATAACCCAACAGAAAACTTGGAAAACATGACATTTTTTTTTTGTCATGGGCAGACCATACTATCTCTGAGTATGTGTATTAATTTTTCATTTGCAAATTTACACAGGTGGAAACTCAGTACCCAAATGAGCCATAGGGACGTTAGAAAGAACATTTTCAGTGTCAGAGTAGTTAACAGATGGAAAGCATTAGGCAGTGATGTGGTGGAGGCTGACTCCATACACAGTTTCAAATGTAGATATGATAGAGCCCAGTAGGCTCAGGAATCTGTACACCAGTTGATTGACAGTTGAGAGGCGGGACCAAAGAGCCAGAGCACAACCCCCGCAAGCACAACTAGGTGAGTACACTGCCTATGTATGCCATTACTTGAGTATACAGCACCAACATGGACCCCATCTTGTGAAAAAAAAAGTACAGAGGTTTATAACAAAATTAGCACCAGAATTGAGAGGGCTTAGCTATAAGGACATGTTGAGAGAACTCACATCACATCCTCAGAGGAGAGAAGAAACAACAGGGTAATATGTTCACTACATACAAGATTCTGAGGGGAATAGACAAAGCGAATACAGAAAGCTCATTTAAATTAAAAGGAGGTAAGGCAAGTATATATGAGGAAGGAAATTTTCAGGGGAAAAGCCCCTAAGCCATTACAACTACATATCCCCTTGAAGGGGTTAGGATAAGAATTTGGGATGGGACAAGGGGAAGGAATGATGCCCAACCACTCGGACGGTCGGGGATTGAACGCCGACCTGCATGAAGCGAGACCGTCACTCTACTGTCCAGCCCAAGTGGGTGGGCGAAATGGACACAAGTGGAAGCTGCAAACACAACCAAGTCGTAGAGATTAAAGGAAGTTCTTGTTCCCTATACGAGTGGTCGGCAAGTGGAATGCATTGAAGGAAGAGGTTGAAGTCAATTCCATCCACAACCTTAAGAGAAAATATGATGAAAACGTTAATGTTAAGAGAGGTAATTAGTGTGTCAGAGAGAAATGAGCAGTAGGTGGAGTATAAAGGTCTCACTCCCCAAGTCACTGATAGGTAAGCACAGCTTCTTCCATAATATTTATAGCTGCTTGTGTTAATAATTGCTGTATTTCTTTCATATTTTACTCTATGATGAAACAACTTAAATAGGCAGATTTAGTTGGGCTAGATAAGAATATATGTTGTTATTTTCCAGGCACTTCTGAACTTCTAAGTTACTATAAATGGACCCCATTCGGTCAATGGGAACGATGAACAAGATATTTATATGCTGGGATAACCAAAATCCAGGAAGCAAATAATGGGTTTTGCCCAATTCAGTGGGTGTTCCACTCAATTTACAAATTTACATTTCTTTTTACATTTTTACAAGTACTCTAGTTCATTTGCAAATACCAAGGTTGCAGATAGAGTATCAACAATAATTCTATAACATTGATGTTTTTTACTATCTGGGAAGAACCCTTTACAAAAATGGTGACTTACATAATCATTAAAGTATCCAAAGTCACTTAAATTAGTACTTTAATTTAGGACTCTATTTTTAAGGTAAATTACGTGTTTAACCAAGACAAAAAGAAGCACCTGATAAGTACTGACCTGCCTATGATCGGGACCGGGAACGTCTTCTGAAGTCTGGAGAGTCACTTCTTCTGCGGTAGTCATCATACCTGAAGAAGGATACTTTTCATCTGAATGCGGCAAAACAACTGAAGCATTAGAAGGGATAGAATAATGCATGTGCTATATAAAATATACAAATCTGCAATAGCATTTAATAAATGTTGCCATGGAGTAATGGTGCATAAAATTAAGTGTAAGTGTAAAATTGGTAAAATTGAGTTGTAAAATTTCAGTTCCCCCTACTATTGAAATGATGGTAAATGCTATTATGTATGCTGAATCTGGAGGGCAAAGCCCCTTTTCTGCTTGCCCCAATCCAAATTTTATGGCAACTATTTTTTTTTCTCAATTTTACCATAATCACTTTTTTTTTAATTACATAGAAATTTTTGAATGTAATTATGTTTGGTATGTCTGGAAGTTCTTGGGGTAACCTCCATTTCTTACATCAATTTTCTTACTTTCTCAATTTTACCATAATCACTTTTTTTTTAATTACATACAAATTTTTGAATGTAATTATTTTTGGTATGTCTGGAAGTTCTTGGGGTAACCTCCCTTTCTTACATCTCATCCTAGTGTTTCACTTATAGTAACAAGTAACAACTAATCATCCCAGGCCCTAATACAAACTATTTGAGGCTGAATGTAGTACATACATATATGTGCTATACTGGCCTAGAACAAAAAATTAAGCTTTATTTTTTCCAGGTTCTCTAAAGTGAACACTGTAGTACCAAATGCTACTAATTGTCCATTACATCAGAATATGTACAATGGTCCTCACAGGTATAAAAAGTACTGTACTATCTAACAGGAGGATGGGACACTTTCTTTGCCAACCATGGCCAAGCTATACAACCTAGAATGTGTCTCTTAATTTTTTTTTAGACTTTTACAAATTTATAGAACAATTGGTAGCATTATTTTAATAATTTTTTCAACTATGACATTCTGGGAAGAGGATCACCAAATCAACGCCACAGAAGGAGGATAAACATTAGACAATGCATTTAAATTATGGTGCTTCTCTATTTACTAGTTTATAAGCATTGCTAACGGTCGTGTCTCGACAAAACTGATCACCAGAGGGCTACATGTAACCCCCCCCCTCCCCCCACCTTCAAAAAGAAACCTTCCTTACACCATCATACATGAATCGTTTCAAACTTCAAGGCAACATGTGGCACTCTTAGACACAGCACAGACACAAATTGTACTAGTACTTTCTATGCTTTCAAGAACTGAATCCTATAGTCAAACCCCCTTTAATTTTAATTTACATAGACATAAATAATAACTAAAATACCAACTTAATTAAAAAGAATAAACTCGCTCATCACTGTTTGAAAAATATGCCTCTATTTTTTCTAAAAAACAAAAAACAAAAGATACTCCTAAAGTTTTAGTTTCCATTGAGTGACATTCACTGGGGGACTGGTTTAAAGTGCAACATGCCGGGTAAACTAAAACTACCACTGCCACCCTTGCCTGGCTGCTACATTGCATTGCTGTACAGTACAGTATCTGCATCTTGTGAATAGAGGAAATTATTATCTATGCTACAGTATTCTTTCAATACACTACAGGATAAACTAACATGACTTTGGAATTTATAATCCTTTGGCTATAGTGTTCAACATGTTAAAAAAAAGGCCCATATTGTAACATACTAGTATAAGAAATTGTTTTCTACAAATATTTGTGTTCAAAATGTACAATACAAAATGCATAATTAGAATTCAATTCAGGTTCAGGTAAAAAATATTAAATAACATTGAAGCATTAAATTATATTTATTCATCATTTCCTATATGTAACCGCTAATCGTTCACAAAACAAAGCAAGTTTTTAATAGTTATAAATCGTTTTGAAACGATTCATGTATGATGGCCTCGGGCCGGGCTTGGGGAGTAGAAGAACTCCCAGAACCCCATCAAGCAGGTATCAACCAGGTATCAAGCAGGTATCAACCAGATACATCACGGAGACTATGTACCATATGAGATCATGCAACTAAACAAGTAAAAACAAGCACAATTAGGCGAGAACTAGCCAAGCGCAAATTTTTCAACTACAGTACAGTTAACAAACTACATAGAACAATAATTCCAGCATGTACAAACATACTGTACATGCACTGCTAAACCTTGAATATTGAAGAGTTTAAATTCAAAGAAAATTCATAGAGCAGATATTTTCATTATATCAAGAAACTGATTAAACTTGTAAAGTTATATTTTCTATTCCACAAATAAACTTTAAATTTAAAAGGCAAAGTTATAACAAACTATTCTTCAAATAATTACTCTCTCTTGCTCTGTTTACACCAAACTATAGTTGTTCTTTCAGTAAATGTGATTCATCTTCCTAAATTATTATATTACTTATGTCAAAGCACCACCTCTACAATCAGTAAAACTTGCCCATATATTTCAGTAACATCCCTAGTTTCACGACCCAACGTAACATTACAAATATTATCTCAACACACAGTACAATGAAATTAATTTAAATGTTAAACTGCCATATAAATAATTTACACCAGGATGGTGGATGGGAAGTATGGGAAAGGGTGGAAGTGATAGTGGTGTAAACAGTGTTAACACTTTCGCGCTCCGTAGAAACTCGCGGTTGACTGGGGAATCGTGGCCCCTCCGTGCGGGTAAGCGCGCGGTGACACCCAAATGTGTATACTCATTCCAGTTTTCTCACCTTAATTCTCGCGCTACGTCGCTCGTTTTGGTATCATTGTGTTCGCAATTAAATTCTCTACAGCTGTGTATAAATATAATGTCCAAAAGCCTAGCGTGACTCCCAACAGCAAAGCGTAAAGTCGGCAAAAACGCACAAAATCAGTAACATGTGCATTCTCCTTCCATTTTTTTACCTTAATTCTCGTGCTACGTCGCTCGTTTTGGTATCAATGTGTTCGCAATTAAATTCCCTACAGATGTGTAAGAATAAAATGTACAAAAGGCTGGAGTGCCTCCCCGCAGAAAAGCCTAAAGTTACCCGTGAACGAGCACCATTTTGTACATTGCAACCTAATGTTCAACTCGTTCAATTTGATAACATCAAATTTCGTGCTAGGTCGCTCATTTTGGTATCAAATTGTTCGCAATAAAAAGGCGAGTATTTTAAAACTAGTCCCAGAATAATAGAACAATAACTGGATTTTTAACAAATATTTTAATTCTGGACGCTCATCATCACAAATTTATTTATATCTTTCCAGTGTTCTGACATAAATATTTGTGTTACATCTTTCATTTTGGTATCAAATTGTTCGCAATAAAACGGCGCGCATTTTAAAACTAGTCCCAAGATAATAGGACAATAAATAGAATTTTAACAATTATTTTAATATTCGGACCATAGGCCTATTTATAATATTTCAAGTGTTTGGACATCAAGTTTCATGTTATATCTTTAATTTTGGTATCAAATTGTGTGCAATCTAAAGGCGCTTATTTTAAAACCACTACAAGATTGATCTGATAAAATTTAAATTTTTAAAAAATATTTTAATGAGTGACTCAGTATTGCGTCGTTGGAACACATTCAGTAGAAAAATAAATGACGAGATAATCAGTCTGTGGAACCTCAAAGTGTTAAAATACTCTGCACTTTTTTCTCCATAAGTATTCAAACTGAAATAATTTAAGTTGCAGTACCAATAATGACTATTCTTGTGGCTTAATTGATATTATAAATTACCTGAAACTAATGCCTTTACTCAAAATTGATATCAAATATACTACTGTACTGTATAATGAAAACTTTATTATCCAATTCCTTTGGAAAGTAATTTATAAATAAATAAATAATAAAGCAAACAAAGGCTTTTAATACCAAACAGACCAAATTCATGCAACCTTTGTTACAAATGACAGAATCACTACAATGCAAAATTATGTACAGTACTATTATGGTTACCGTATGACACAGACCTTGGTGAGCGTGAAACAGACCTGGGGGAGCGAGACCGTGACCGTCTCGGCGACCTGGAACGAGAACGGCCAAACCTCCTAGGGGAACGGGACCTGCAATAAAAACTGAATTAACATTCAAATTCTTGTGTGTAACATCATTTTTTATTTTGTTTTTGGAAGTGACCACCTCCTTGAAATAGGAACATTGGTTTAATCAGAGCACTTTCCATTCCCTTTTATTTAAATACTGTATTGCTAATCACTACCCTACATGATTTTATGAGATGAATAATTTTAATTCATAAAAACTCAGATTCCTTGAGTACATGATTGTGACCAGGGATTAGACCTGCCTCTGCTTGCAGTTATTAAGTCACACAGTCTATCGACTGCACTGCCCTTACACAGGATGTGCAGTTCAGTTGGCCAGGGTAAGAAGGAATCCATACCACCATACTGGAGGAGGAAATGCTGGCTACATCAATATACTCTTGAATGCATAAACACTTTAACCAAATGCAGATTAATTTGTGGGAATAAAAAAAGATGTTAAAATGCAATTACAAGCTCTAAGTAATTTAAGATGATTTCTACAATGGAAAATGCTCCTAAATGACGCAGTGAAGAACTGTAAAGAAAATGATGCCTCAAGCTGTCCAGCCCATACCCACAAACCACCTGGGTGACACTCGTGAGTACCCTGCTAGAGATTCAAATGTTCCAATGAGAATAAAACAAATGAACCTTCTACAGGTAAACAATCACTCCTCAAGGTATCATCATCCTCAATGATAGGATGTATACCTACGCTTGACTGACAATCACAAACAAGTTTGTGAATAGTGATCAAATGGTCAAATACTGAGTAGTGTACCGTCACAGCAGGGTAGTCGTTATGATGAGACGAGGCGCGATGAATGTAAGAAAGTGGAGCGAGCGTTGGAGGGTCAGAGACCCAAGATGGTGGGTGGGGGGGCAGGCCTGACGGTGCGCAGGCAGCGGGCGGGCGTTGGGCGGGCAGTGGGCGGAGGGTAGACGTAGACGGGCGGGGAGAAGAGGACACGTGAAGCGCATAAGGGCTGCCCGGGTGCCGCGAGGTGCCGCGCCGTAGGAGGGCCATCAGGCAACGTGCCGCTCACCACCACCGCCGCCATGCCTTGGATGATCAGGGCTTAACACCTTATCCAACACTGGTATACTCCACTACCGAGTGACAGTAAAACATGAACACTACAGAGAACATGCTTTACTACCCAAGGGAGTCATCAAATTCATTTATGCTAGTGAGTTGCTTCACCAGTGTAGGATCAGGTGTTGAGTTGAAGGAGCCCCCAAAGGGAGCTCCAACCTCCCCTACAACCCAATACTGGAAGCCCACTGTACAAGCAGGCTGATGCTGATGCTAGCAGTGGTGGTGGTGGTGGTGGTGGTGGAAGTACTTGTGGTGGTGGTGGTGGTGGTGGTGGTGGTTGTGGTGGAGTTGGTGGTGGTGGTGTGGTAGCAACAGTAGGAGGAGTAGATGGTGGTGGTGGTGGAACAAGAAGTAATTTGGGCGAGATAGTCCTGTAAATGGGCCACACACCACAATTAAAAAAAAAAAAAAATGAGAGTATTTTAGGCTCAAAATGTGATGAGCCTGAAATTTTGTTGAAAATTAAGGCAAACAGCATTATTGTATAACCCTCTATGTGTCTGAACTTTAAATTTAAAATAATAAGAAAATTAACAAACAAAACCTCTACAGCTAGTGTATGATAATCTCCCCAAAGAAAAAAATAATGATACAATTTGAGAAACTCAATTACATTTCATTTTGCAATATTAATTTTGAACCTTATGATGACATTGCAAGTACATCAAAGTATATATTTTATATATATATATATATATATATATATATATATATATATATATATATATATATATATATATATGTGTGTATATATGTATATGTATATATTAAATCTTAACTACAACTAAACGTACAAAGGAATTAACGCAAGTGAAAACATCACTCCAACGAAACTCCAGTCTAGTATCTGCCCGCCTTCAAAATATCTTCAGTTCTAAGGACCTACTTCAACACTACTGTCACTTCAGCTAAGGCATTCAATAGCTGCATTATTATTTGACCCTGAATGGAGTGTTTCAGACAATCTAAGTTAGACCCCTACTGTATCCTTAGTGAGTACAGATCAAGTTAATGTAATCACAAGTTAAAAATTCTACTCACAGTTTACTGTAAAAAACAAAAAATCATATATATATATATATATACAGTACATACATACTGTACATAGATATACAAATACACACATACATAAATATACAGTATATATATTGTACCTAGCAGCTAGACATGCCCACCAGGTCAAATTTCCTTAATTTTAATTTCTGCTTAATTTTACCCTTTGGGTTGATCAATATGTTACGTTTAATGAACCAGACAAACAATATTTTTTTTCAATTTGAACTAAAATAACATAGTAACCCGACCTAACTTAAATATGCCTATTAAGCTTTAACACTGTCCCTCATGGGCAAAACTAATCCTAATTATGCTATTAATTAATGTAGGCTAAATAATTTATTAATTTAATTTGAGTGCAAACCATTTTCTACACAGGTATAACAAAATGGTATTAAATGTAATGAAGTACCTCTTTCTGGTAGGTCCTTGGTGGCTCCTTGGTGCTAACTACCTGATCAGTACCATCCAATTCAACCCACGCCAGGCCCCTGCAAGCCAGTGTAATGCTACCAGTGACTAGACATAACCTAAAGAGGTGCAAGGAGCAGGGGATCCTAGATCACCCTAACCAAGAAATTACTATCAGAAAGGTGGGTGAACCAAAACATTCAATCAGCAAGTTAAACAAAGCATAAAAAAAAACGAGACCAAAAACATCTGAAACGGATTAACCACCTGTCGTGTAGTAGTTCATTCATTAATTCCACGTGTGCACTACCAGGGGAATGCACATCTTCGTTCTCAATCCCTAGCCTGGAATCTGTCATTCAGACAGGAAGACTGAAATACCCCTGAATGGGGAAGGAAGGGTCCCAAGGAGCCACCGTAGACCACCAGAAGGAGGCAATTCTTTTCATTCAATGCTTGTTTTCTGAGAGAGATCCTATGGTGGGTCTTGGTGCAGTTACCAAAGAGAAAACCAACAAGGCTCTCCTCCACCAGGGTGCAGGAGAGCCACCAAACTTGTCACTCAGATCACAACCCAAATGAAGTTCAGACATGCAAGGGCAAATGACCTGAACAGCCAGTCTCAAATTCAAGAGAAGGAGAATTCAGCAAATTCAATTTTAATAGCAAACGGAATAACTGGGAACAAATAAACCAAGACCTCACAGAAATATGCTGGGAAAGACACCTAGATAATGCAAACTTAGACCATTATGCACAGTAGCACTAGAAATATGTGCAAGTCACAGACATACCACTAAGAAGAAAAAGATGCTAACTGGAATCAGAACGGTATTACCTCTATACGACCGGAGCCGGTCGGCCGAGCGGACAGCACGCTGGACTGTGATCCTGTGGTCCCGGGTTCGATCCCGGATGCCGGCGAGAAACAATGGGCAGTTTCTTTCACCCTATGCCCTTGTTACCTAGCAGTAAATAGGTACCTGGGTGTTAGTCAGCTGTCACGGGCTGCTTCCTGGGGGTGGAGGCCTGGTCGAGGACTGGGCCGCGGGGACACTAAAGCCCCGAAATCATCTCAAGATAACCTCAAGATATAGGTGAAAAAAACTAATCACAGAACATTTTCAAGTGTTCTACTCTTTTCAAAGCACAACAAAGAAGGTTACGTAGAGAAATATAAACGATCAAACTAAAGTTGAAAGAATCATATAAAATCCAGGAGAGGCAAAGAGAGGCAAAGACCATAAGTGAAATAAGAGAGAAATCCAAAATACTTTTACTCCTATGCAAAATCTGGAACAAAAACTACATCTTGCATTGGGCCTTTGCACAAGGGTAATGGAACTTGCACAAATAACAACAAAGAAATTAGTGAAATACTGAGGCTACAGTACAATTATATTTTTAGTGAAGTACATGGAAGATCAATGATCCAAATTAATTTTTTATGAACATGACCACCACTGAACCATATATATCAGATATCACCCTAACCCGAATGGACTAAGAGCCATAGACAGCATGCCTATGCACTCAGCACCTGGCCTGGACTACTGGAATTCAATATTCCAGTAGTCATTTCAATATTCCAGTACATATAGGATAGATAGTAGTAGTACAGAACTACAAAGTAGTCTATAATCAAGAACTATAAAAAACAGTCACAGGCCCTAGATATATTTGGGAGATGGAACCTCAATACATAAAATGATGGAGATTTAAGTGTCTAGTACATAAATCTCTGCCGTTCACATACAGTATTTGCTAGTAATGTGGTGCTGTAAAGTACAATATATACACAATATGTATATATAAATAAAATGTGTATGTGTGAATGTATACATATATAATATAATAACAGTAATAACACATACATACATACAGTGGAACCTCAGTCTACAAATTTAATCCATTCCAATTCGGCTCATACAGTGAAATGAATTTTCCCACAAGAAATATGTAAATAGAATTAATCCATTCCACACCCCCAAAAATATTAACTTAAAAATGCATTTTATATAGAATACTACTCATATTTTTCATACATAAAAAATCAGGTATAAATATAAACCATAAATAAAATAAGTGACCATTTAACTGCACTTTACCTTTACTGAGGACTCTTGTTTGTGAATGAGAGACGGTGAGGAAGGAGGAGCGGTGTTGGGATATGGGGAGGATGAAGGGGGAGAGAGGAAGAGCAGTGTTGGTGTATGGGAAGAAGGGGGAGAGGGGGGATGGAGGGAGGAGGTGGTGAGGGTTTAGAAGGACCGTCCGCTGCTCACCTTAAATGCTTTCATATCTGCATCACTGGTTACAGATTTTCCTTTCACACATTTCACTGCCTCTGTTATGTGGCAGCTGCCAGAACCAGTCATTTACAGTCACAAGAAGTCAGCCAAGCATTCACCACAGTCAAAACCAGTCACAGGCAGTCATAACCAAAGGCAGTCAAGCATTCAGAGTTGTGGTAGCAACCAGTTAGGCATTTCCAGTCACAACAAGTTAGTCAGTCAAGCATTCACAGGCAGTCACAACCAAAGGCAGTCAAGCGTTCACAGTTGTGGTAGCAACTTGTGGTTAGGCATTTCCAGTTAGTCAGGCATTTCCAGTCAATTAGGCATTTACAGTCAATCAGGCATTTCTCATCAATCCGGTTTTCACAGTCACAACCAGTCAGTTAGTAAACAATAAGAGTTTAATGATGTCAGGCACTCAGGCAGTCTGCCTCCCAATCCATCAGCTGGTAGCAAGAAAGCCCACAGTATTAATACTGTCCAGATGTGGGTGGGAGGGTACTGCCTAGAGGGGTCCGGTGTGGGGGATGGTGGGGTGTTAGTCCTAGTTGGAAGCTCGCCTACTGCACCTACTGCACCCACCCATCTCACTCCACCGCCTGCCTGTCCACTGCTAAACTCTGCTGCCCGTCCTGCTACTCACCTGCCTACCCACTGTCTCCTGGCCACCCTGCTACCCACCTCCTTAGTCTACCATCTGCCACCCACTCATACTGCTACCTGTATACTCACTATGCCCACTCTGCCATCCATCTCACTACCTGCACATATTGACACTTGCCCGACCACTGTTACCAGCCTATCCACCCACTTTGCCACTCACCTTGCTACTCATCCATCCACTAACTCTACCACCTGCCCACCCACTCGCCCTCCAAGTGTTCCTCCCTCACGTATTCTAGTGCTGTTGTTTCTGAAAGATTTTCTTTTCTTCCCCCCCTCCTCCTGCCATTCATCCAGTCCCCCACCATCCATTCATTCAGTTCCCCCCACCATCCATTCATTCAGTTTCCCCCACCATCCATTCATTCAGTTCCCCCCACCATCCATTCATTCAGTTTCCCCCACCATCCATTCATTCAGTTTCCCCCACCATCCATTCATTCAGTTTCCCCCACCATCCATTCATTCAGTTTCCCCCACCATCCATTCATTCAGTTTCCCCCATCAATCCATTCCCCCCACAATCCATCCATTCAGTTCCCCCCCCATCCATCCAGTCTCCTTACCATCTATCCAGTCCCCTCACTATCCATCCAGTCTCTCCTCACCCTCCATCCTGTTGCCTTCCCAAATATGACTAAAAAGTTAGTGGCATTTTAAGCCCTCCGGATAATAGTGGGGCCCAGAATTTAACGACGGATATAGCCCCATATGGGTTCTTAATTAAATCAAATGGATACTGAACAAGCACTTTGTACTCTGAGGCAACTTCGAACACCAATTCAAATTTTACGATGAAATTTACTTCGTATAATGAAAACTTCGTACTCCGTGACATTCATAAACCGAGAATCCACTGTGTGTACTCACCTAATTGTGCTTGCAGGGGTTCAGTGTGTGTGTGTGTGTGTGTGTGTACTTACCTAGTTGTGTTTGCGGGGGTTGAGCTCTGGCTCTTTGTACAGTGACACCTCAGCTTACGAATGCCCCTATTTACGAACTTTTCGGGTTACGAGCCCAATTTCTTCGTAAAATTTGAATCAGGTTATGAGCTTTGCCTCAGATAACGTAGTTTGTTGATACGCGTATGGGCGACCTAGCGCGTGGTTCCTGGTGGCACGGTCACCCGCGCTTCAGTTTACCAGTGCCTCCCGCTTAGTGACGATCACGCTTGAATTCTTTGTAAAGAATTTAATTGTTTTTCAGCTTTTTTGGGTTTTGAACATAAAAGTAATTATTATATATATATGGGTCCCAAGAAAGTCAGTGGTAAGGTTCAACCTAAGAAAACACATGTGAGGATGACCATAGAGCAAAAACAAGAGATCATTCGTAAACATGAAAATGGTACACGGGTTGTTGAACTAGCTAGGCAGTACAACAAATCTATGTCAACGATATGCACTGTAATTGCTAAGAAAAAGGACATTATGAGTGCTAAAGTGGCAAAAGGCATATCAACAATCACGAAACAAAGAACACAAACACTTGAGGATGTTGAAAAGTTGTTATTAATTTGGATACACAACAAGGAGTTAGCAGGTGATAGCATTTCAGAGGCCATCATTTGTGAAAAAGCAAGGCTATTGCATGAAGACCTTTTAAAGAAAACCCCTGGAACAAGTGATGCAGATACGAAAGAGTTTAAGGCGAGCAGGGGATGGTTTGAGAAATTTAGAAAAAGAAATGGCATTCAGTGTTGTTAGAGTTGTGAGCAGGTGGAGGAACACAGCGAAGAACTGACCACTGAAGAAATCCCAGCACTTCACAAGGAGCAGCAACAAGAGGCAGCTGAGGAAATTTCTTCAGGGGAGGAGGAGGCAGAAAGGGAGGAATGTCCCTTTCTCAACAAATAAGAAATGATGTTGACTCTGGGAAGAAATGCAAACTTTTGTTGAAACGACTCGCCCAGAGCAAGCTGTAGTAGGCCGTTGCCTTAACCTTTTTAATGACACTGTGAAGCCTCACTACAGACAAGTGTTACAACGTATAGAAAGACAAGTCTCTATGGAAAGGTTTTTAGTGAGAAAAACAAGCAGCAAGCCACAAGCAGGTCCTAATGGTATGCAGGCAAAATGTGCCAGAGAGAGTACCCCAGAGAAGTCATCACTGCCTGATGTTATAATGGAAGAAGACTCCCCTTTCAAATGCTAACACCTCTCCTCCACCCCCCCTCCTCACCGTCTTCCGTACACCAACAGGAGTCATCAATAAAGGTAAGCTATAACTTGTATATACTATACTGTAGTACTAAGTATTTGTGTGAATTAGGTATGAAATCTATTTTTAAGTTAATATTTTTGGGAGTGTGGAACGGATTAATTCAAATTACATTATTGCTTATGGGAAAATTTGTTTTGTGTTGCGATTTTTCGGCTTACGAACCGTCTCTGGGAACAGATTAAATTCATAAACGGAGGGGCCACTGTAATTAACATAAACCTTTATGCACCATATAAACAAAGGCGTGATACGCAAGTCAAACACGAAACTTACGATCCATCCAATGCTCGCACTGCATCTTCAGCATCCCGTGGGTCTTCAAATTCAACAAATGCAAAGCCTGGAGGATTGCGCGCCACCCACACATTAACTAATGGACCATATTTGGTGAACGCAGACTCCAGCTCATGCTTTGCTGCATTGTTGCCAAGGTTGCCCACATAGACCTTGCAATCCATCCGCATTCTCCTGTAATGGCAAGACAAATATTAAGCAATGAAGATCGTTTATAACTGTAGAACAAATTTACAAATATTGTACTGTAAATACAAATTTAAGGGGGCGTCTGGTTGGCATCTGGGTCCAAAAATGCAAAAATGAAAACTCATTCGATTTCAATCAAACTTTTTTGACAAGTTCTATATGAAAAGTGTTTCATCTGGTCCAAGTTTCAGCATTGTAGCATAAATAGGAAGGGAGAAAAAAAATATTGAAGTAGTTGTGAAAATTATGCAAAAATGGTCAAAATCGATTATCAATCAAAAGTGTCAACTGAAATCATAAGTACAACTCTTTGCTATCACAATAGCATATATTAAACAAATATTATTATTAGTTTAATTGGAAAAAAACTTTAAGGAAAAAAAAAAAAAAAGGATTTTTTTTTCTTTTTTTTTTTTTAAATATTTTTTTTTTTCATTTTTTTTGGGGCGATTTGTATCAAACTTACACACCTGACTGTACGTAAGCCTATCTGTAAGGATGCCAATTTTGGAGAAAATTGGTTGATGTCAACCCCAGCCACAGATTTTAGAACCTTAGACTTTATTCATTTCTGTTTTTTTTTCAATTGACACAAACGTTTACAAAACTCATTCTTTTCTTATTCAATTTACATGAAACTTACACAGTATATGTGGAGGGCATGTCTCTACATTGGGGGGCTTTCATTTTTCTCTAAGTTCATTTATTGATTTTATAATAGCAATAAACATGCCATATTTGCAAAAAAATTTTTGGGAACTTTGAACATTTGTATTAGGAAAACTAAAGATATTTTGGAAATTCTAAATCCCCAAATCCTTTATTATATGCTAATGTGTCAGAAAAGTGTCACAGAATAATTTTATCTGAAACGTGTGTTCTGAAGTGTGGTCTTGAAAATGTGTAAAAAACGTTCAAGAAAAAAAAAAAAAAAAAAAACTCCCTTTCTATTTACGCTGCAGTACTGAAACTTGGGACAATTTAAGCACTTTTCATATACAACTAGAAAAATAATATTGGTTGACATTGAACAACTTTCATTATAATAACCAGACGCCCCCTTAAGAGGGTTCAACAAATATGGTCAAAATGACTTGGCACTTTCTCCTGATAGTTCCCTTCCCTTCAACAACTTATGCTTATTCAGGATTTTTTAAAAGACAAGGCCCTTATGGTAACAATTTGGAATGCTATATATGTAACTAAAAGAACTGTAGTTCAAAATCTTTATCACCAAGGCTTCCAGTATTCCTTCCTCTTCCATCAACTAACTTTAAATCCTCAGTCATATTGCCTGGAAAATGGAAAATCGAAGCCCTGGAATAGTAAGCCACCAAGAACCTACCAGAAAGAGGTGTTTCATTTCTGGGATGAGTTCTAATTGTGGTACCTTGGTGCTGTGTCATCAGGGAGAGAAGCAAAAATGGGTCTTACCAGAGGCAGAGGAAAGCCACAAAAATAACCCTCATGAAAGGAGGAGTTAGCAACGAGTTAACTGCCCTGAAACCATACAAGCCTGGCACAAACCAAGAATGTTCACAAAGTAACGAGCTGTCAACACCCAATAAATGATGCCTCCCAATTGAAACAACCAAGCATCAAAGGGACCTCTCTGGAAATCAGCCATCTCAATTCTTAGCCAGAAAGGAAGGAGAGGGCTGTAAGCATAGACAACAACCCCAGGACCAAAGGATCAAAGCTCCCACTTCCAGAGAAGTGTGTGAGGCACCCCAACCCAACAACTGGAAGAAAGAGCCAACAAAGCAAATAACTGAGAATAAAAACTAAAAACTTGTCAAGAGACCAGGACTGCTCAGGAGGAACATGAACGAGCCAGAAGTGAAAAAATGCCAAAGACAACTTATAAAATGGGGACAACAAAATGTCAACACTTAATGTCAACAGTAGCAGCTCCACCAAAGGCCAAATGATAAAAAGGTAACAGTATTCCGAATGAGAAGAATTCCACAATCAACCAAACAAAAATGAGAAGACCACAGATACAGAAACAGGGTACAAGTGACAAAGAGTAAAATACAAGAGGAGTGCTAAGAAACCTAAACTGTCACCACGATGAAACCTGTAGGTAGGACACCAAAAGATTAGCCAACTATGGACTGCACAAAGAATGACACACAAGTCAAAACCTTCAAATATTTTGTAATTTTTTATTTATTTATATTTACAAGAGTTCTTACATTCTTGTACAGCCACTAGCACGCATAGCATTTCAGGCAGGTCTTTAATCCTAACATTCCCCGGAATATGACCCCGCCAAATCGTTTAACAACCAGGTACCCATTTTACTGTTGGGCAAACAGAGGCTACAGTTAAGGATTGATGCCCAGTAAATTCTCCCCGGCCAGGACACGAACCCAGGACAAAGCGCTCGAGAAACGCCAGGCGAGTGCCTTAACCATTACAGCACGGGGACTGTAATGTAACAAACTGTAATATGTAGAGCTGTGAACCATAAATAAACGTTGAATCTATCTACTGAAAGAGGCAGAGCTGCAGAAAATGCAGTGGATTCAGACAATGGGTTCAAAGGGATGGAAACCACAGCTAGGCTCGTCTAAAGGGAACAGGTGAACCGTGATGAAGAATGCCTCCAGTCTGAACAGATCTTGGAGCAACAGTCAAATCTGTGGAAAGAGAGGAAACAAATTTCCACTTAATCCAGTCCAGCTGAATGGAATCCATCGTACCGCAATAGGGAAAGGGCGCAACATGAACTTGCAGCCATCAGTTCCAAGCTGACATAGAGAGGTCCACCTCAGGGTTGCCAATGTCTCACTAAGTCAATGAAAGGACACGTCATCGATGGTCCATTCCGGCGATGGAGCGAAAAACACTGTAATCCAGAATGTTGGACATGCCCCAACATGAACTGCATGGAGATACGAGAATCCAAAGGATAAGTTACCCATGGATTCCAGTCCCACAAAGAAATAGACTGAAGTGACAAACTGCAATTTAGACTACGAATCACTGGGGGGTAGTCAAAGTGAAGACAGATCATGGAGCCTGCTGGAAGATGAAGCAACCAGAAAGCATATTAGTCCTGCAAACTTGCGAACCGTGCCATGTGCCCAACTCAATGGACTCACCCACTGACCTGGATTAACCAGGTGAATGGTGGCTACAAACCATCAACCCAATGATGAGGCCCCAATGAAAAGACGGAGTGCAGGGAAAGGGAAATGCTATGAGACAGAACCTCAAAAAGCCAGAAGAGAAAACTAGCAAACCAGAAGCTGTCAAGAGGACCCACAGAGTCTACACCTGATGGTCCCAGCAGATGTGTAAGAATCGGAACAGTACAACACTGAGAGCCAAACCCTATCCAGAGGAAAAACCATGCAGACAAAATTCAGTTTTCACACAGCTGCTTGAACAAATGACAGGTGATATGACAGCAAATGATAAGCATCCTAGTGGAGCAGGGAAGCAGGCAAGACAGAGGGGGACACTGACCAAAAATCTCAGACCACGTTCAACAAGGTCTCAGCCTGCAATGGAACCAAATGGGACCTTCACTGGAAACCCGAGCCTGGCAAACTGGGAATAAATGAGATCCTTGGCTTGCAGACATGCGGACTGGCTGGGAGCCCAAACCAGCAAGTTGTCAAGGTTGGCGAAGACGCGAACTTCTAATACCCGAAATTGACAAACCACTACACTTCACGGTTAATAGAATTCCCCTCCTCAGAGGAAACCAACGAATAACCAGGGTGAAAACGCACCCAGCTACTAAACTTGAGGTCCCTTCCATCCCTGGATAACCCAGGAAATGGGGGTGGGGGGAACACCAGAGCAGAGCTGAGATCCACACCACACTTGGAAAACAAAAAATGTCTCACTACAGGGCAGGATCCACAGCAATAAAACCCGAGAAACAGAAAGCAGAGGATCCTAGTTGGGAAGCAGTGATTCAACTATCTTTGCCATCGAAGTTGAAGGGGCAGTTTCCAGAGAAGAACTGGAAACCCAGTTCCCACACACACTTAAAGTATCACTACCCCTACTCTAACATTTCAAAGCCGGAAACAAAAAAAATAAGGCCCAAGGGCCCAATGAACAACACTGGCCAAACTCGGGAAAGGAAATGGAGGAGCAAACTTGGAACAAATAGACAACACCAACTGTCCAAAGGCTGGGTCTTGAAAAGACAGGAGCCAACACTGGGGCAACCACATTGACGTGAAGCCTCATCCTATGTATAAGGAGAGCTGTCTGGTAAGCAGTTCCTAGGAGGAGGCTCGTCTAAAACAGACCACAACGACCACAAATATTGCAAGTTTCAGGGTGGAACGTATCCCTCACCAGCAGGTAGCGTGACGCAAGCTGTGAGAATGGTCATCTGAATACATCAAAGTGCATCCTTCAAAGTCTCACCCTGAAAGAGCAGAATCAGAGGGTTAGTCCCAAATAAATTGTACAATTTTCCAGGTTCCAAAGGATAGTCCATACAGGAACACCAGGCATAGTTTATACTGGCCAAATATAACAAACACCCAAGGGGCAAATGTGGCTGTAAAAAGTGCAAGTGGGACACCGTATAATAAGCACATGAACAATATGTGTGACACTTGAATGAAAATTAGACTGCCCCTCATCCACATGGCCTTGCAGAGGAGTCAAATCTAGTGCACTGCTAGGGGCAAGGCACTTTCCGACAGAAAGGTGCCTTTCTGTCGGCACCTTTCGGAAAGGTGAAAGGAAAGAATGAAAATCAGACTGCCCCTCATCCACATGGCCTTGCAGAGTTGTCAAATCTAGTGCACTGCTAGGGGCAAGGCACCTTCCGACAGAAAGTCAGCTTTTCAAAGACATCCACCCAAAGCCCCCACAGAATATAACTAACCAGGTAAAGGTAAAGCCAGCGAATACTTAGAGACAAGAACTTAAGCATAAATATATATGCATCAAGAATCAAATAATAAAACAAAGAACAAATATACAAGCAAATAATCCACAAAGAACAAACACAGTCCTGCATGGATTATTTGCAGCACTTATCTGAAAAACTGAGACCTGAATGGCGCTAGTGCAGGAAGAGGAGTAAAAGAACAAACATGATTAATGTAAGCACCAAGCAATGTAACTGAGGATTCAAGGTTTATGGAGCAAGAAGGAAGGTGTGCACTCCCTTGGTGGTGCATAACACTAACATGAGAATTGCTACACCTTCAAGTGGGTCATGAATCTTGGGGGCTTCCCTGTTCTGTTATCTATTCTTTGCTTTACCTTGCTGTCATTTGTCTTGCTTTGTTTGCCGTTCTTGTGGTTCTTGGTTAGGGTGATCTATGATTCCCCTACTCCTTGTTCCTCTCTACAGGAGGTTAGGGTTTGGCCTCTGGTACCTGGTAGGCTTATATATGACTCACAATGGCCTGGCATGGATTAAATTGGGTGTAGCTTGCCAGGCAGCAAGCACCCACCATGAGGAGCCCACTTAGAAAAATTTGTTGACAGCAAAAAGGTTAATGCAATCCAATATTTTCTCCAAAGTACTACACTAAAATCACTACAAATTTAAAGATTCCTCATTAAAATAAATGCCTATTTGTTGTTATTTAAAAAATATAGTTTTCACCACAGATCATATATACAGTGTAAAATGTTCTGACCTTTTCTTCATTTAAGCTTTTAATACTTACACTCTCCCTTACTATATTTCCGAGTGCTTTGTTTTATCAGCAGTCACGTTACAACCTCACAAAACTGATTAACAAATCATAGACGGAAGAAAAAAATTGCAAAGAAACTAGAAGTGAACCAGTTTGATACAAATTAAGAGAAAATTTACAGAAATCCTGACTTCTGCAACACCTACAAGACTTAATTTTCCACTTTTTTTTATAGTAAAGAACAGAGATGTGGGTTTCATCAGCAAGCATAAACAAAGAAAACAGAAAACAAAATCTGGTCCAAGTATGTAAAACACTGTAGAGTGTTAATTTAATGAATAGCATCCTACCACAAGATACTGAAAAAACGATGAACCCACCAACGTGAGATTGACTCACTGCTCCTGAGCTGCCAGAGCCAAAGGTCTACCACTGATTAATGCAAGCAAGTTTTTGTAAACTTACAGAGTAAGAAGTCAGGGAATTCCACAGTAACCCTCAACATATAACACTTTACTCTTGAGTTTCGTCCATCCCTAAGGAAAAATACGGAACCCAAGGACTAAGATGCAAATTAACAGGGCACTTCCAGATCCCCAAATCTAAACAATTATCACAGCCCGAGAAGAGAGCTTGCCCAAAAGGATTCAATACAAAAATATCTCACTTTGGTGTGTAGTTGTTGACTCCCTCCATTGTTGTTCAAAAGCTCCAAGATTCAAAATGCCAACATCTGTTGAGGGAATATAATAGCTAGAGAACTGGTTCTTCGCTTGTCAAGAAAATTATGTCAAACAAAATGGTCAAAATCGGCTCTAGAGAAAAAAAGTTTGTTACAAGGGGGAAAGGAGGTCACCAAAATCACAATTATCTACAAAAAAAAAATAGCCACCTGAACCTTGATTTCAGTTAGGCAATACAAACAGGCCACCTAAATCCTAGTTAGAAGTGAAGATAAAAGCACATCAAACCATACGAGTCCCAATACAGTACCTCGTCAAAAGTTTTATAAGTACATTAGCACTTTACTGTACTAATGACTAAAGCATGCTTTCCCCAGGCCTAAAATAATTTTGTGCTTTTGCAACCATATCCTTTACATAATCTAATTTCAAATGTTTCATGCAACAGCAAGACTTCAAATTATAACAAAAAATAAACTTTCTTTAATAAGCATTTACACATGTTGAACGAAGTAAGCTGCAAGTCAACCCCCAAGAATCATCATGCATATCTAAAGAATTCAACTGTCCTGAACATAGAAATAATTGTATGAACTTTTTAGAATATTGTAATGTTATCTTACTTCACTACCAGACATATGGCCATTTGTTTACCATGCTAACCAATATATACTACAGTATACAGTGTACAAAGGTTCTACTGTCTGCCAGTGGCAGGGTTACAGATCTACTAGACTACATACAGTGCAGCAAGTTATTGGTGACTAATCCAAAGGTATAAAAATTTGTTAAAAGCTCAAGTTATGATTGCATCACATATAATACAGTACATATTGTATTAAACTGTAAATCCAAGGGGGGACAAAAGTTAGTCAATATGGGATATTTCATAATGTAATTTTCAGGAGAATGCATGTTTTTATTTCACATACAGTAGTTGATATGTAGAACAATTTGATAAGTTTTGGGAAATGTCTAGATACAGTATACCTGTATCCCAAACATATCATGGCAACTAAAACTTTGCATTGCCAAATTCTAGCTTTATTAGTTCCATATTAAAGGTCACAGTATCCATCATAATGATTAATGCTGCAGTTTTCAGGTCTTTGTGTATTAGTTACATCAATAAGAATTTTACTGTACAATAGATCCGTAAGTATTTGTGAAATCATCAGGTAGTAACCCCTCCATTACTCATTCTATATAACACTAAATCTGAATTCCCTGATAAACTGTGTGAATAATCCCAGTAGGTAATACAATACTGTACTTGCAAGAGGCTGTTGCCATACCCTTAATTAGAGCATGATTTAATTCCAATTCAGTTACATCATTAGCTAATGTTTCTGGAGGGACCAAACAGAGGCTCCCTTTTGCTATCTGAAGAGATAATTCAACAAAAGTCTGCCCTAGATGTCCTTAATAGTCTACCACAGACTAACAGCCAAAACAAAAACCTCACAGAGGTACAGGGAGTAAAGAATTCATGATCACCTTCACCAAAGAAACAAACCCTCAGAAAGGAAGTGAAACAGACAACTACAATGCTCATAGAACCTAAACAAACAGTGCAGCAAACAACTCTGCAAATGATCTACCCAGTTGTTAGGTCATACCCCTTGGCTACAGCTGGACACCACCAGGTGGCAGCACTATGGGAGCTGTCAGCTCTCCATGTCAACAATGATCATTCCTTCACCTGATGTCAGCCAAGTCTGATCTACACTAGGTCACCAGATTTTACAGATAAGTGTTGGCCATCCCTACACAAGCAAATGGGTCCTGTGGAGACCCATTTGCTTGTGTATTGTTTTCTGTGTTTACAAACCTCACTTGTTGTGTAGCCATAGAAAACTGTTCACCTTAAGTTGCATGTACTGTACTTAGGAAAGTTCTTCCATAGGCGCTCAGTGATACTGCCCCTGCCCTGACAGGATTGCTTCCCTGGTGGGATTGGGTATTTGTCCCATAGAGGCCAGTCTCATGTGGAGGGTGCCTTACCCCAAGTAGTGCATGGATCTCTGACTCCTCTGTGAAGCTTTGAGGTGGTTTGGGGCATTCTGGAGTTATTGACTAAACAGTGGGCTAAGATTCATGTGCATATACATGAGACATGCCACTGATGTCCTTCACAGCTACATTTATCCTTTCTGCTGCATTCTGTGTCAGTCTATCGTGCAAGCATCTCTAATGCCTGGGTGTACTGCTTGACTGTCATCTTCTAACCTGTCCTCAAAGAGGAGATCCCCTCAAGGGAATGGATTGGGAACGACTACATAATATGTGCTATTATCTACTCTCTATTCATGGTTGGTTTAGGTTAAGGTTACTTGAGGTAAGGTTTCATTACGTTTGGTTATGTAAATACAAAGTATTATTGATGATAAGATGAAATATGGAATTAGAAAAATTTAAGTGCCCACGAATTCAATTTACAGAAAATCAAATTATTTTAAGAATGTTTTCAGCATACATTTTTTGTATATTTTAAACCAACGATGTCTATTACATTACAGTTATAACTTGAGAATAATCTCTGTTTATGACAAACATTTTTTGCCAGTTTGCATTACTGTACTAGCAATTGGGATTACAGAGTTGGAATTCGGCTGAATCCCCTCGGGGGGGATTCATGATCACCCACACAGAAGAAAGGAATTTAAATTGAATTGAAATAAGTTTATTGAGGTATAAATACACACAAATGTTACCACACACACACACACCTTCTGACTGGCATATTTTACTTTAATTATCCTATTTTATACATTTATTTTATTTTCTTCCTAACTTAATAGCTAAGTTCCTCGGTTACAAATTGATATTCGGTGACAGACCAAATTGTTTTTCCTATGTATTGTGTAGAATTAATATTAGTGTGCATGAAGCACTTTTAATCCTTTCACTGTGGTACAGTTTTTCTCTCTGCCTGCTTCGTTAAGTGCGGTAAATAAATAAATAAATGTTTATTCAGGTAAGGTACATACATACAAGAAATTTTACAAAAATTTAGATTTATAGATAGAGCTAGTACATACAATGCCTAAAGCCACTATTACACAAAGTGTTTTGGGCAGGAAAAACATTAATGACTAAAACTTAATACTAGGTAGTATATTAAACCATAATCAGAGATTATTTCTGTTTACATCATACTTCCAACAGTATTCAGTACCGCATATAAAAGCAAAAATTTGTCTTATTTTGGTAAGAGAAAAACTAAGTACTGTATTACCTAATAAACTCCATGTAACCTACCTTACCCCCTAAATGTCAACCCATATCTTGCTATTTTCAAATACTACTGTTTGTTGACCAACTTGTATAACTAATGACTGCCAATTTTTTGTTCCTTTTTTCCTTTTTCAACTCAATATATGCTTTGATCTAAATTAGTAGTGAAAGTGTTAGTAATTAATAATCGAAAGTGTTAAGTTTTAGTGTAAGTGTTTTTTTCCCCTCACTCTGCCTGAAATGCTGTGCATTTCAGACAGAGTACCTGAAATGCTTTAGGCATTGTATGTACTAGCTCTATCTAGAAATCCAACATTATGTTTGTAACTCATCTTGTATGTACTGTACTTTTGCCTGAATATAAATTTGATTTGATTTGATTTAGGTCAGGTCAGGATAGGTTTGTTTAAAAAGCATAGCAACAATGTAGAACAATTCTTGGTGCACTTTAAACCCTACTTGGTTTATTAGGGCATGTACAAGATGCAAATTGATGGCTCTCCAACATGAGTAGAGAGCACTGAAGTAAGGCCCCTCTTGGCACGGCACATGTTGAACAGGACAAAATCAAGTTTAAAGTGTTGAATATGGGCATCCTTGCCATGGCCACCCAATTGGTGCTTCATGGCAAAATGGAGCATCAGGAGATGGATTGGATGACCTGTACAAAAATGTTGAGTGAGCAGTAATGAACCTAGCATGTATGATGATGGGGGAGGCCAGACAGACCCCAATGTGCAGCTCTCTCCTATGTATCCACACCCAGTGGTGCAGTGCTGCCGGAGCTCCTCTGCAAGTGGATGATGGAATGGGGGAAAGGGAGAGAGGATGAGGAGAAAGGGAGAAAATACTTAAGGGTGATTGTGGCAGGAAAATATTAGTATTACATCACTAATAAGTTAATAATGTTATGATATTTCTTCGCTTTTTTAAAGATTCAGTAATATTAAAATTTTTATATATTTGAAAAGTAAACAGGCTGAATTGTACTGGTATGAATCTGGAAACATAATACCCAACGCGAGTGAATGCTTCCTTTCCATTTATGTCAGACTAGCGGTATGAGACAAAAGTTGCCAACCTACCACTTTGGATATGAATATTCTGCAATAATGTTCATGGCTTTAGCAGTACTGTAGTTCATTAGACAGAAATTCTTCATTCATACAAAAGTATATTTTAGTATTAGATACTAGGCAGGTAATAGGACAAAACTGCTACACACAACTTTACATAATTTAGTGTTCTTTTGGGTGGTTCTAGCATGTGAAATACTCAGTTGGCAACTCTGCATCTGTTTCAATGACATTAGTAATGTTGTGGCTGGTGGTCTGTGGCTTTCTCTCTAATACAGAAGCATATTTGTAGCATTTTTGAGACTGGAGGATCATGGATGCCGCATCCTCAAGATTTACATCCATTACCGAGCTGTTTACATGTTATTCCTGTTAGTTCTACAGTGTGTGAGAGGGAATTCAGTCACATGGGTTAGTAGGCATCCATCAATCTTAGGAGACTATGGAGTTGCGCTCTGGTCTGGAGTGGCCTCTCCAGGGCGCAAAGCCAGGGTATGTTGATACGGGGAAGAAGCTGTCATCCATGCAGCAGGTCCCCTCCTCCCCTCACCACGGCGCCAAAAGTCTCCAATGGAAAGGCAAATGCCAATACGACTGGTTCCAGCACCATTGCAGGAGCTGTCGGAACGAGCTCCTGGTACCATCGGTACCATCGAACTGCCATAGGGGCTCCAGCTCCATAGGTTACCTCAACGTTGGTTAAAGAAGGCACAGGGACCCCCAAACCCAGAGACCGCCGTGGTCGGTGCCGGAGAAAAACCACCCCAGCAAGGACAAGAACGACCTCAGCCTCCTGAAGCAGAGCCTGGCCGCACGAGCCCCCAGGAGGTGGACTTCCCAGTCCTGCACCTACGGGATCCAGACAGAGATCGTCACAGCCCTCTTTCACCCGAGGCCGGCTTCTTTTAAGACGAAGCAGAAGGAAGAGTGATAATTATTAATTACAATAATTATTATAATTAGATAAATATAAAATATTGATATTATAAAAATATAATTAATAATTATTACTCTTCCTTCTGCATGGTCATGAAGAAAGCCGACCTTCAAGGGTTCACCTGACGCGAGAGTTCACACGTCACATGAACCTGATAACAACAACAACACACTCGAGAATCTTCACAAATCATGTATCAGCACTTATGTTCGTTAAACTACATGGCGCTCCTTGTTGAGTGGACGCCTGAGCCATATGGCACATGACATGAGCGGTGCCACCGGTCAGCAGGTGACACGGGGACAAGACTTGCTTCACACACCTCACACCTTTGAGGAGACTATTGTCAAACTTCTCACTGTTTGTATTTTGTGAGCACTTGGGGGTTTAACTTCTTAAAAAATTAATGAATGTATGATTGGATTTTTTGTTCTTGATTTGTTTGATACTTATATTTTATGATAATTGGCGAGTACAAACACGAAATGCTTAATCGTGTGACATACAGAAACAGGATATGAAATGACAGACTTGACAGAAATGACAGTCTTGACAGAAATGACAGACTTGACAGGCATGACAGGCCCACCACAGCTCCGGCACTACACCCGTCCTCTCCTTCAACAGACATTTCCGCCCCACCAGAAAACCACTCCGTCAACACGCTATAACAAGGTTACAAAAGGGGCCAGTGATACTATTAACTAAAAGCTACACATACACGATACGAGATAATGATGTGAGCTTGGCGTAGCGGCCGCCATCATGATGACGGAACCCAGGCCAGCCCTACCACCTCTTTGAGGGCTATTATACGCCACACGCATCATATTAACACACTGCCCACTGGCTACATGTGACCACACACACCAGCACACGCCTCGCACACGCTCCAAAGTAACTCACCAGAGGAGGACTTTAGCAGGAAAATAGGAGAGCAGCCGCTCAAAGCCTCTACTCCAAGAATTTTCTAGTGATGACGTCATTAGACATGCGCAGTGCAGACTTGAGTGGATATAATCAATTTGTTGGTCAAATATTCTATGTTTCTGGTATCTTTTTGCAATGGCCTTTCTCATAAAAAATCCAGTGAATATTTTTCTTACGTATTAAGCTCTTTCTAAAGAAGAATCATATATGGTACAGAATATTATTGTGCATTGTTCCTCCGTAATGTTTGTGATGTTCTGCGTAGTAAAAAAATATTATCAGTTTACTTCCTTTCAACTTTATTTTTCTCATTATCTCATTTTATTGATATTATTTGGAACGCTCAACTTCATTCGTATATTTACCATTAATTCACTCTCCTGACCACACATGTCTTTACTCATCATCCGCTACTTTGTGCATATATGTTTATGAATCATTGTCAAGAACTCATCATATTTTGTATGTCCGTACCATGTGTGTGACACCGACCATCCATTTATATGGTGTTTATTCATTTATTATGCACCCCATCCTGTGGGTGGTGATGGGGAAGGTATGTTCAGTTCAAGAGAGTTTATTAGGAAAATGAAGTACAGGTACATCTCAAAAAGGATAGAGTAGCTTAGGCTATTTCTATCCCTCGCCAATTATCTGTCATTTTGTGTATGTCCAGTCATCATCATCATATATTGTCATGCCATTTATATTGTGTAGAGTCGGGTTCGTTCGATCATGACTCACAATAGAGAATTCGGGTTATGGTCGTTAGGGACATGATGAAGCTCGTTTTCCGTTTGCTAAAACCGTATTTAACAATTATATGCATAATTATTTATTAGTATATTTTGTATGTCTTTTTTGTAAACATATGTTGTTAAATATGAAAATATCTTTGACAATGTAATAAGTTATTACGAAACGCGTTCAGGCGTCGAGTCAGACTAGAAATAAAAATGAATTTTGGAGAATTGATTTTTCAATTACCATCAACAGTGAAAAGAAACATAAGAAATATTGAGAAAATTCGTGTTAGAATTATTAATCTTACCTTTTCGGTCATATTTAACAACATAATTATTTATGTAATTATTATATACGATTTATAATAATTATATACATTATTATATGCGGCATATAGTGTTATGTTAGGATGGATTAACTTAGGTTAGGCTGTATTTGGCTCGGTTTGGTTAGGGGGGGGGGGGGTTAGGCTATGGAGGTTTCAAAATCGTTAACGAATCTTGTGTACAATGTGTCTTGTATCCGGAGTTAGTCAGCTTATTGTGGGGTTGTATCCTGTGGAAGATCAGTAGCTCGACCTTACCTCAACTTTAGGCTAATATGCACATAAGGGTGGTGATTATGGTTATAGGGGCAACAGCTTCAAGCTCACCAAGCCACAATGCAGGACAAAACACGATATGATTTTTAACCCAAAGAGTTATATATCCATGGAACCGCCTACCCGCCGAAGCCGTAAATGCCAAGACATTGCTTCAGTTCAAAATCCAGTTGGAAAACAACAACTCGGGAACAAAGGGAGACCTTTGAGAAGCCGCTGGCTTCTTCGCCGAAACCACATAGATGGTGTTGACCAGACCACACACTAGTGTCTAGTGACCACACACTAGAAAGACCGAAACGTCGTCGTCCCTTCACCTTCTAGTGTGTGGTCTGGTCAACACTCTTCAGCCACGTTATTGTGGTTCATCGCTTGCATAGAAAGATGGTGGATCGCAGGTAAATATCAACACAATATTCACTGGAGATTTTACGTCCCCTCAGTCTGCATGCAGCGTCCTCTTCTACTTTGATCTGACTTGTCACTTCTGGATCCTCTAGTCTATATTATGCCTGATCTTTGTCTCTGACTTCAGTCATGTGTGGTTCCACTCGCTATTTGGGTCTGGGCTCCTCGTATCTCGTTTAGCCAAATTGTCTAATTTAACTGCGCAAAGTTCAATCCTAGCTCCAATATGGCTCTTCAAATCATTGGTCAAATGCTCACTAATCTTTGTTGTTGCATCTGCCCTTTGTGGGTTAGGGGCAGTTACGGCACTGGGCGTAGCCGGAGAGTCCCAAGAGTCCCGGCGAAGCGGCAGGAAGCATTACGGTCGCAAGCTGCACAGGCTACATACGTCTGTGTGGCCTACAGGAAACAATGTCAGACGCAGGGCTTCGCAACGAGGTTCCTCGTCCAGGTTATAGCCATTTAGAATGGGAAGCGTAAGGCGGCAGTTTTGGGTGCGATATAGATCGGAGTTGGGAGGTGTTAGAGTGGTGTGGACCCGTGGGCAGTGCTACAGGAAATGTTCCACTGCTTTTTCCTGACAGTCCAGCGAGTCCAGAAGACCCAGGCGGTGGAGATGAGCTGCTAGCTTTGTATGCCCAATCCGAAGCAGAGTGACGCAGGAATCGAAACAGTGGTCCCGATGCCTGGTCCACCGTCTAGGAGAGGCAGTCACACCAATGAGTGCGAGATGAGTCGGTTACAGGCCACATAGACCACACGGAGCATTAGGAAAGTTTCCCGGGGTTCCATACCACTTGGGGGTGGACGGTAGAGCGACGGTCTCGTTTCCTGTTGACCAATCCACACACTAGAAAATGAAGGGAAACGTCGTCGTCCCTTCATTTCTAATGTGTGGATTAGTCAACATACTTCAGCCACGTTATTGTGACTCATCGCCTGCGTCTAGTTTCATGCAGGTCGGCGTTCAATCAACATTAACAGTGAGGGCGGGAAACATTAACCGTGAGGGCGGGAAACATTAAGCGTGAGGGCGGGAAACATTAGCGTGAGGGCGGGAAACATTAGCGTGAGGGCGGGAAACATTAGCGTGAGGGCGGGAAACATTAGCGTGAGGGCGGGAAACATTAAGTGTGTGAGGACTGGAAACATTAAGCGTGAGGGCGGGAAACATTAAGTGTGTGAGAACTGGAAACATTAAGCGTGAGGGCGGGAAATATTAAGTGTGAGGGCGGGAAACATTAAGCGTGAAGGCGGGAAACATTAAGCGTGAGGGACGGAAACACTAACCGTGAAGGCGGGAAACATTAACCGTGAAGGCGGGAAACATTAGCGCGAGGGCCGGAAACACTAACCGTGAAGGCGGGAAACATTAACCGTGAAGGCGGGAAACATTAGCGTGAGGGCCGGAAACACTAACCGTGAAGGCGGGAAACATTAAGCGTGAAGGCGGGAAACATTAAGCGTGAAGGCGGGAAACATTAGCGTGAGGGCCGGAAACACTAACCGTGAAGGCGGGAAACATTAAGCGTGAGGGCCGGAAACACTAACCGTGAAGGCGGGAAACATTAAACGTGAGGGCCGGAAACACTAACCGTGAAGGCGGGAAACATTAAGCGTGAAGGCGGGAAACATTAAACGTGAGGGCCGGAAACACTAACCGTGAAGGCGGGAAACATTAGCGTGAGGGCGGGAAACACTAACCGTGAAGGCGGGAAACATTAGCGTGAGGGCCGGAAACACATGGTTACTCACGAAAGGCGGAAGACGGCCTCTGGCACCCCACACAGTTACTTAAACCATTACCTCTCTTCACATGCCATTATCGCTCCCGCTATTATCAATTTCGTTGACTCGCACCAGAACGTTTATTGAGTCATTAAAATCATCAACGATGGCGCTAGGCGAAAGAGGTTTTATTTTGAGCAAATGGTTTCCATCCTCTTAATAGAAATAGTGAAATAGTCTTTGATCATGACTAAGAAGACAAGAAGAGACAGTATCAGCAGTGGGGCCGTAGAGTTTTGTTAAGAGAAGGGTATGAACTGTTTTCTTATGAGGCTACGGAGAGAAGCTGAGACTTCCGTATCATTCAATTATCATTTACGAAGGAAAAGATTTTTATGATAAACATATGCATAATTTCATGTGTAAGGAATAGCTGTTGACAATATACAAAGTTAATGTCTATGTGCTTGTTTGACGATACTATTAATTATTGCATCCTTCCTGTGTTTCTGGAATCTGTTTTAAACGTCTGATAGATAGTTCCCATAGCCTGGTGTTGATTTTTTTTTTTGCCAATTAACAATGGTAAGTGGGGGAAAGCTATTTCTTACAACGGTCAGGCAGGCTGTGCAAAAATGTGTTACTCATGGCAAAAGAGAAGTTGGTTCCTTCAGCCATCCCTTGTTGGAAGCTGCTGTTCATAAGCACCGCGAGGGCAGGCGATTATCTCAATAATGATTAAGTTTTGTAGGCGTTCAGGCGAGTGCCTCCTTCAGTGCTTGAGGTATGACGTTTCGAGGCCGTGCAGTGTAGGCTGGAAGATTCAGCTAGCGGAGGTTGCTCTTGGTCGCCTCTGGCAACGTGCCACCAATCCCCACCCGTTTTCTTTGGCCGACTTTGCTCTCTAACCCGAAAGCGAAAGGGGATTCGCATTTCACGGACGTGATTCACTTCCCGGAGGAAGGCAGAAACAGATGGGCAGTTTTTTCCCCCTGAAGTCTCTGTTCACCTAGTACTAAATAGTTATGCAGACGATGAGTCACAATAACGTGGCTGAAGATATGATGACCAAACCACGCATCAGAAGATGGAGCAACGGCGACGTTTCGGTCCGTCTTGGATCATTATCAAGTCGTATGTGAGGGAGAGAGATGTAGAAGATTGAGCCACCACAAGAGGTGGCACGGGCATGAGTTGATGGTAGATGTTTGGAGTGAATGTGGTCTTTGGTCGTGTAACATCTTGAAATGTCTCTGGGCCTGATAGAGAGAGATTGAATGATAAAGATTAAGCCACCCAAGAGGTGGCGTAAAGGGAGAGAGGAAGGAACAGGCAATAAATGAGGAAAGAGTGAGGTGAGTAGTAGGTAAGAGGAGGTAATTCCTAGAAGGTAAGGTGATATGATGGTCCAGGACGGACCGAAGCGTCGTCGTTTCTCCATCTTCTGATGTGTTTGTTGTTGTTTTAAGAGTCAGCTACTCGGTACAAAGTTTCCATTTAGCACGGGCTATGGATGTGCAGAATACCCCCGTTGAAAAGCAGAGGTGCAACAGGTACTCAGAGAGAGAACTCTTTCAACATCAGAGGCCCGAGACTGTTCAACACGCTTCCACTACACATAACTGG